TCTTGATGTTTCTAGTGCTTGGCCAAACCATCTTTTTCTCGGTTATCCAGAATAAGATAGTTCAGCCAAAATCCAACTGCAGGATGGGATAACATCATACAGAGAACTGCTTGTTGGGGTAATACACAGTACTACCATGGATGCTGAAAAGGCCAAAAGCAACCATAAAAACAATGGCTAATGTAGCACTGGTGAAGCTGTGATGGGCCCAATAAGCTGACAGCAGGTAGTAATAATTATTTAAAATGATAAAAAGCCTCGAATTTAATCATCATAAATTTTTTAAAAAGTTTCTTTCTGCCTGGTTTCATAAAGTGTGTTTGAAAAACAATTACTTTATGTATCATTCTAATGGAAATATACAAGTTCATCAAGTGATTCTGAAAGCGACAAGTTTCCTAACAAACATATTTTAGTTTTATATAAATTAAAAGATGCAGATACTGCTTATTTAAGTCAGCAGATGTTTCCAATTACAAATTCTGAAACCTAGGCTTGAAACAAATTGTGTACTAGGAAGGGAACTGAAAACAGTAGCTCTGGTTACTATCTGCACATTTACAATAATTATCAGAAGAAACTTATACTTAATTTTGTACTGCAGTTTAACATTGTTATTACTCACCTTTAGTCCAAACACTTTCAGGTAGCCTTACAGGTAATCTAGATGTATACTGGTGAAGGGCCTGCTTCTGGGATGCACTGCGCAATGTAAGAAATGGTAATGTCATAACCAGAACTTCAGGAGGTGGAGATGTCTTACTGCTCAAACACTGTGCTAATGCATCTTCTATTGATTGTGCTCCTACCGCAGATAAACTAGCCATTGGAAGGTAAATGACACACTGGGCCACATCACCACTGAGAACCATACCACGCCACACAGGAAACCAACGAAGAATGTTATCTCTGCTCCATTTTGTCTGTACAAAAGAAAGCAAATATTTCACATGGTTCCGGATGGCCAGAACTATTTATTTCACAATCTATCAATTTTAAAATTTAGTTCTAATATTACCTGTACTTTAAGCCCAGTGACAACATGCAAATTAAACTATTGTCTGCGAGCCACGAGAGTAGACGTGGCCTTGTCAGCCGTTGCTTGTGTGGCAGGGGGGAAAGTGGGTTCCTTACCTAAGAACATTGTGCTATCAGTCAGTCAGTACATTAGCTCACAACGTACGGCCTGTACAACCTGCAGGTGTTTTTAGGTCCTCTAGTAGCGCAGAATTCTACCCCACCTCCCTCAAAGATGTCAGGTCTACTCTCGTGGCTCGCGGACAATACTATGTCTACGTCCAATCTGAATGAGTATTATCATTATCGGCCACTGTCAGTTAAAGTATCAAAATGTTTACTCTAAATTTCATAAAACTGTACATTAATGACAGGAAAATACTGTTAATACATAATTATACAAAACAAACAAACTAAACTAAATACATATATGATATAATAATATATTGATTGAAACCATATATAATACTGGATAAATCTATGATAAAATATGATAATAAGATATCAACATAAAACAACAAAGCCTAAAGTAGAACAGAACTAGCAGAAATAAGAATTTAGATGGATATACACATTTATACAAAAAAGAAGAGAAATACTGACATACAGGAACTTAAGACCAATAATAAGTTGAAGATATTACTACATACAGGAAGATATGAAAATACAGTGCAGAAGAGAATGGGTGAACAGAGATCGCCAGGAATAGCATGGAATTATAAATTTGCAAAGTAAGGAATTTGGATGATGGAAAGATAATTTGTAGACTGGCACAATGATTGTATTCAAAAAAGAAATGCTCTAACTGTCTGTTCTGGAACTGTTGATGTGGAAGCTCTCTTGGCACTTTCTGACTTTGTCCCTCGACTATGTGCTATAGGAGACAAGGATAGCCCTGTTTGGACTACTATTTGTTCACGATCTGAACTGCTGTGAACAGACTCCTGAGGTGTAGGAGCCCGTCGAGCAGGGCCTGTTTCTAGCCCAGTCCCTCCACTGGCTTCTGATGATAACCTTCTAGAACGACGATGGACAGTACTACTACAGGTAGTTATATTGGTATCCAAAGTACACAGGTCACTTCTTGTAACAATGCAATCAGGAGCATAACGAAGCCATCGCCACATCATAGGGTCCACACAAGCACGTATCTAAAACCACAATAATGACCAGAGGGTTATAAACAGGAAATAAAAGCTTGTTAAAACTGTACTGATACCTGACTTAACTTTGCCTGGTCCATGTTTAAAGTGCAACCAAATAATAAATATCTGTATTCTGCCATTCTTAATTTCTAAAATTAGTAAAGGTGACTTTTAGCTTCACCCTAGCATTAATTTCACTTGCATAATTGTTAAAGCTAAGCCACTAAGGAAGTTCAAGAAATTCAGGAGGGATTGTAAATAAACAGAACACAGTAAATACTGATTCATGCCAACAAACTAAACCCTTTACAGCCCAGTAGTAATTGTATGTACCACCTGCTTTAACGTCAACAACACTGCATTTTGCCCACAGAGTATATTTATCTTTGTAATGGAGATGTGTTGTGTTTTCTTTGTGGTAGGGACTGAATTATTGAACATTATTCAGATAATCTTCTGCTTCAAAGGGTTAATTTAGTATGGAAGAACACAAATATCACAACACCAAAAAACAACTCAGAAACTATTAGAAAACAGTGTAGGTTAGTTTGGACAGTTGCTTCTGTTCATTCCAACAACATACAATACTGACAATATTATACAAAACTTCATTACAATTCATACCTCACGGACACTGAAGAAGAGCAGAGGAGGATGATCTTGAACACTGGGATCTCGTGTGTACTGCAATGTCAGACATAGCAGAGGTTGTTGTACTATCTGATTTGGATCAACAGCTTCTAGGAATGATAAGCTTTCAGGGCCAGACAGAACAAGAGCCTGTTGTGGCTCAGAAAGAACATCAAACATATTGCCATGGGGTCTAGAAGCACCATGGTTCAATGGAAATTCAAGTACAAATGCCTTGAGTGCACCTACATTGAGTATGAAACCTTCAGTACCAGGAGTGATTACTTGCCGATAACTTATTTCTTCCACACACAATTCCAGGTATTCAACACCTGCAACAGATGTATGGTGTTACTGCAATCCAACCACAATAAATACTGCTAAATGAATCATAAAGTAACAGTAATAATTTATTCACAGTCAATAACAAAAGTTCCTATGTTCTATTTCATTTTCTCTACAGCACAAAACAATACTTCTCAAACTTGTAAACTGTGGTCTTCTGAATTGTGACACCATGTAGTCTTGTAAGTAGTTACCATTGTTTTGGATGAATATGTCACCCCCATCTTCAGGACAGAAGACAGAGAACTTACAATCCTGTGAAACATGTGTAACCATCTACAAGAATACATGCAAAACAATGATGTGAAAACCTCAAATGCAGTAAGTAGGATTTGAATTTTCCTTGGCGTTGAGTCCAAAGACTTCAAAATTAGTGAAATGAACGATTTGTATGAAAGGATCTTTAAATATCACAATTCAGTTAAATTCAGAGAAAAACATTAAGAAACAGGAGGAAAAAGATGGCCGTCTTCTGGGTTGCTGCGCCATGTCGTCTGGTAGAAGTTTACGTCTACCAGACTTCTACCAGACTACAACACAGTAGACAGCCATCTTCAGACTCACCACCACGAAAACCTCAAATCCTAATTAAGGAACAGAGTTAAAAATTTCTTGATAATTACCAGCATGTTTAGCAGCATCTGTTAGCAGTGTTGAATTCTGGATGATATCAAATGCTGAAGTAGGATCAAATTGTGACTGAATGATGTTTGATATCACCATCAATTTGGCTTTGGTAAAAGTCATTGTAAGACTCTCTGAAATTAAAACAAGGATCTACAATGTAATGGCAATTTAGCTTCTTGTATAAAATATGTTCCATAATTCTCTGCTTGAATGTTTGTCACCTGCTTTTAATGTCTGGTCTGTATGTGGAATATCAGGATTATTCCAGTAACGTGTCAGCATAAGGTTCTGTCGAGTGTAAGAAAGGTTACTTGGCATCAAGACAGTTGTCTGGCTTCCTGGACTCAGCACCAGCTGACTGCTCACACCTAGCAACTATGACAGTAAATACCTAAATTTATCAGATAGTCAATAAATCCAAAACAGGAGAATATGTGGCTTCAATATAGACCATAAACAGAGTTCATGTTATAATTAAGATGGTGACAGTGTGAATCTCAAACTGTCCACATATCATTCTACAGGTTCAACTTGGTTTATGTTAACATATATAATAAAAAAAACATTCAAAAGGTTAGAATTTTTATATTTACATAATAAAAACTGGATCTTCATCATATCAACTAACAAAAAATTAACTTCTTTTTTAAATTTGAATACTTCAAACCCACAATATGAAATTAACTTACAACACAGATAACTCACCTTGACATTGGCATGAAAATGACATGCATGAAACATATGCTGTGAGGGCGCAGGCAGTTGACATGTAGTGATGACTAGTCTCCAGGGATACATGGGCTTCACAATTCTTGCATCAAAACATTGACACTCTAAAGTAACCTTGGGTAAATGGGTCATTTGTTTGCTCAGAGGTTTTGTTTTCTGTAAACAATCATATATGTTCCCTTTTATAGCATATATTTGAACTAAAACCTTATGCATGCAGACAATTCACAGTTATTCAGTGTACATTATACGAAGCAATTGTGAACAATTAAACTAAGAAAACTGCACTCAGAGACTGTTATTACAAATATGTTTTTATTTAACTTGTGAAGTGTTTTGACAGTGAAGATTTCTGTCTTCTGGGTTGTGCTGCGTAGTCTGGTCGATGTTTACCAATGTTTCAGAGGTCATATGAATATTCATCGACCTGATGACGGAGGCAGTATGACCTCTGAAACGTTGGTGGACATCTACCAGACTACACAGCGCAACAACCAGAAGATAGAAATCTTCATATTCACAGCTGTGAAAACCTCAAATCTTACATTGCTTTTACAGTGTCTCAGACTTCTAAAATTGTGGATCAGCTTTAAAAGCCACTATGAACTAGTTCCTAAAAGATATTTAAAAACATGGTGAGGTTTCCATTAAAAGCCCCAGAAAATTGATGAATAACTACCAAGAAGCTAAAGCATTATGGACCAATCAAATTAACTCCCATTACTGTATGCCATCTGTATGATAATCAGTCATTCACTCCATCATGTAATTTCCTGTGTTGAAATGCCACTTGTGGAACAATGAGTGTTCATGTCTGATACCTAGTATGTAAAAAGTTTTCTTAAAGAAAAGTAAGATGATTTCAGCATAAATTTCAGGATAACACAGACCCAGACAAAACTACTACTGACAGAATTGTAAGTGCCATATGCTCAGTAAAAAGAAATGGGTAAAATCGGTTCTACACTTCAACATAATCCTTCGAAATTCCCCAGAAAATGTGCACAGCACCATCATCCTGCTAACACTAATCTTCTGTAACTGAATTCTTCAGTCTGTTCATAACACTGAAATCAACCTTGAAACCCTCACACAAATAAAATACTGATGGACAATATCTAAAGGGATATTTTATATATATTTCCCAGGCAGAACTTCAATGCATAAAATTAAACTTCTACAGAGGTACCAGAACTGTGTGGAGTACAATGGGGAGCATTTCCAGCACCTGCTGTAATCAGAATACATTTTATTTTTAATGGGCTTATGTAGTGAGTTTGTCAGCTCAACTAGTTGTACATATCTGTATGGGCAGTTGTGATGGGAGGAGCATCCAACTCTTATACATGAAAGGTTTAATAATCAGCAGGATGTTTAAAAACAATCTCCCTTCCTTCCCTTTCAAAGAATATGTAAATTTTGTCCTCTTAACTTTAAAGTTGTGGGTTTCTGGGGATTTATATAACTTCAAAACTTTGTTAGTGCCTCAATAATTATCCTTAACTGTTGGGTGTTTGTGGGGCCAAGATTATTTCTGTGGCCAGTATAAATTCCTAAAACCCATCAAAACAGATACATACTCTGTGCTTCCTAGGAGCTTGAAGCATAACTGGGTCAAATACAGGATGGTCTGCCAGATGGATGTTGATTACTGATTTGAAAAGGGTCACCTGGATCACTTGTTTAGGGATATTGTTGTCCAGTGAGTCATAATCCTCAGCTGATGGTGGAGGCAACTGCTCTCGGGATGGCTCTGAAATTGAGCAAAACTAAAATATGCTGTTGGAATTCTACCACCATACCAGTCCTCTGTATTAAACACTGAATAAATTGATATTGTATTCATCCTTGTTTACTTTTCAAATCCAAACAAACAAATTAAATATTCTGATGTCATTTCATACTTCTTTGTTGAACGTTGTTGAAACTGGCTTCTAACAACAGTTATGAAAAGTAGCTGGACTAATTATTAATATGAACAGTTTTGTATACAATTCAAGACAATGAAACAAACCTTAAACAAAGTTCTTAAAACATATGTCATATTTAAATATCACACATGCATAAATCACTGCTACAATTTTATACTCATTCTGGTCTGTTTCAGAATGAAATATTTTTTGAACAGAAACCTCTGATAAAAAATTAAGAATGTGCAATATCAAAACTTCTTTGAAAACAGAGAATATCTGCAGCAATAAATGACACAATATCAGGTACAATGATTCTTGAACATGTAGCCGCCCATCTTGAAAACCTTTATGCCTTTACATTTTCAACACAGGTGTTATTTAGCATATTTAACCAATGTAACATTTCTCCAATCTCCCTTCACAAAGACAGGTCATATATCTGTTATACCTGGTTTTGGAGTGCTATATGGAGAGTAATCATACAGTCTAGCAGCATGCTGGACTATTTGAAGGCGGTGCAACAAGCCAGAACAAACTTTAACGGCTACTGGTCCCACAACTACACGGCACAGTGACTTTTCAGGAAGGTTGCTGGAACAAACATTGTAAACAGGTGTGAAAAAGTTCACACGATAGGAGTTGTCCATTTCAGTATCAACAAAGATTTTATTCTGTACCTATACTCAAGATCACTACCAAGCTCTGACAATCGCTCTGAGTTAAAGTCATCTGGCAGCTCCAACATGTAGAGAAAATCCACAGCAATTGCTGGACTCCTTTCTAACAGCAATGCCTCTAAGAACAGAGAGAAAAAGAAAGGTTTATACAAAGGTTTGGTACAAAATTATTATTATGACTGTTATATATTGCCTTTACCCAACTTGAGGAAGATATTCATTACCTTTACTGTAATTATAAAAATAGGGGTCATCATACACTCACACATGAAGAAAATATGTAAAGAATAAACACCAATAATTTATTGAAAAAAAAACACACATGGCATCAGGGTGATTAGTAGGTTGCATGTAAATGGAAGCAGCAAGCATCTCTGAAATGCCAGTAAATTTCTACCACACTACATGGTGTAATAACCCACCACCGTGGAAATTCAAATCTCAGATAAATGGAATCCAGGACCTAACAGTAAGCAGCACTAGTCCCATTATCAATTATGCACAATAGCCACTCTAATATTACTGATGGTAGTAAATCAAAAAGTACCTATGTGGTGTGGCCTCTAGTGGCATACTTTCCACGTTTCACTAAAATCATTCATATAGTTTTAAGTTATTAAGGGGGGACAGGCATATGAACACACAGACTAATTCCATAAGCCTACCTTTCCCTATAAAATAAGAAAATTAAGCTAAAAATGTATGGCATATAATTTATTTGTATATTATAGAACTTACTGTATAGCACCAACACCTATGAACAAACATGCCTTAGTCCAAATTTCATTGCTTACACATTATTAATAACCACAGTCCACCTCCTAAGAATTTACAAGCAAACAGAATAAAGGAATATGGATAAGATTTCCATAAATCATAAAGAATCATTCGTAAATTAGAATCCTGACCTGTTACTGTAGAAAGATGGTCCTCCCATGACATATTGTAGGTCTTCTTCTCTCCTTTGTTCTCAACAGCAGCTGGGTCAAACAGAGAGTCAGCCAAATAGTTATTCTGTTCATTCCCTGCTGCAAAGTAGACCAATTCCTAAACAAAAAGAAATTAAACCAAAAGTAATGTAATCAAACATTAGCCCATATAATCAGAGAATGTAAGAGGCCTGAACCGAAGGAAAAGGCCTTTGTGAACCTGCAATTACCCTTGTAGTAGCCCAATGGAATTAACATTGGGGACTAAAGCGGCAGTTTTGAAACACAATAAACAATAAATGGAGATGAGTGTCTGCTATCTCACATAAAACCAGCAAGTGATGTACAACCATTTTATCCCAACAGTGTGACTTTGGTAAGTAACATAACTGTGATGACTTACATAGGAAAGAGGATGCAGAGATAATAAGTACGTTAGATATCAGGAGACTGCAAGTCAGCAGTACAGTATTCCATTAACCTTATAAATGTGTATTATATGTAATACAGCAAATTGAAACAACTGTTATTCCCAGACCCTGAACATTCTTTCAGATATGAATAATATGAAACCTTCCTGGAGCAAAGAATAATTTGCATTCAATATTACACTAACCTTATGGTCCTTCATCTCTATAGCACTAGTACTGATTGCTGCTTCTTTAACACCACAGAAGCAGTCACCATATGGTTCAACAGTAACTTGACTCACACCTGTCTGAACATTGAGCCACCCAGCACCATGCATCACAAAGTCCACAAAGCACCCTTGCAGCTGTATAACTAGGAATGGTATAAATTTAACTTTGCGAGGCCCATAGTAACTCCAGTCAGGTGAGCTCTCTGTAACCTGAAAAACATTTAAACCACATATTATAACACCAAAATTACGTATGCATTAGCATGCAAAAATTTTAAGAAAATTTTTGTGATAAAATTCACATTGAAATTTACATTTTTATACACAAAACATTTTAAATTCTGATATGTGAAACTTACTTAACCTATAAACACATCAAACTCTAATAAAAATTTGTTTGTTGCTGGAAACGAGCTTTAAAATTATCACCAAACACAGTACTCAAGCCAAAGTCACATTAACAGCTTCACCAGTAATTTTAACTAATTTCTGTGAAGTCAGGCAAGGTTTGTCATTAAATCCTACTTGAAAAACAATAACAATATAAAACATTCCAAAACACATTATTGTATAAAATAAAATTAAAAGAGGCTTCACATATTAATAATTACCATTAACTCTGTAACGATTAAAATTTTCAATTGTTTCATTTGACAGAAATGAAGCACATGAAGAGATAAGTAACGCAACCTCATATCAACAATGTAATTATGTAATGAAAGCAAAAAATTTCAGTACCTTGAGAGACACTGAGGCTTGCTCAACATAGAAACCTGTGTGATAAGTATGGCCTACATAGGCACGATGGTGTTCAGCAGACCAGTCTTCATTCCAATATATGGGCATAACTGACGGAACCCAACTCCAGGCCCAGCCAGCCCATGACTCATTTGTTGAATCTGTTAAGTAGATAATGAAACTCTATTTACTTTTTTTGGGAGAGACAGTTACTAATCTAATAAATTTAAGTAATTCAGAAACAGAACAGATATAATAAAGCCAATTACAAAGTGGTCATTTCTATCATATCAATCATCCGCAGTCAGGATATATAAACCATCTAATACAACATGTATCAATAGGTTTATAACTGCAGATTATCAAATAGTTAAACCAGAGCTGTGATTTACAACATGCTCAGTTTGTAATTCTGCACTCACCAGTCACTGTCACAGGAACAGAGTCCTGCATGGTATCTAAATCCTGTTCCACATTCTGAGACTGTTCCTGACGTAGTTCCTTGCCATGCAGAGCTATTGCCAACAGTGCCAATCGCATCAACATGGGCACCTGCTGCTCTGTGAGGCTGAAATCCATTCTCCCACAATGAATGTCAGCTCGGGTCATGGCCACTCGCTTGGCTGTTGCATTTTGGTAACTCCGCAATAAGTGAAGTTCCATAGAGCAGCGGTAGAGAAGAGGTTCCTACATAAAATTATGGCAAACGTGCTTAAAAGCAAATGGGCAGCTCATATGGTCCTGAGTGTTAACAAATATGTAGTAACTTACTATTACTGTACGAGCAGTACTATTATAATATTTTCACGCTAGGTAACGTTCAGACATATAAGCCCCTCAGTTTGATGCCATTTGTGTATGAAACTGTTTCCTTCAATTGTACCATAACCTCAAACATTTTGTTTAGTTACAAATACATTTTATGTATAAATTATCTTGATTAATATAAAACTCAAGGCAGCAGTGAAGATCTCTTTCTAGTTATTCCATAATTCTTTAGTCCTCTTGGACAATATTGCAACACTGCTCATGAATGTTGGTCTTTCACTATTCTTTCCAGATGCAATGTCGAGCAATCTTTACATCATTATTAAATTGCAGATTATGTATATGTGAAGTCATCTAAGAGGGTGAAATGTCACACTACATACACAAATCTATCTCTGCTGACTCTGAATGTTGTTGGCCTTTCATTTCCATGACAATTTTCAATTCCATATAGACATACTGGATGAGTCACTGAATGTTATTAATGTGTCTTTGTAGATCATTTTATACCACTAAATTCTAGTGCATCCACACACAGTACAGTGTTCCTTACCTGATACATCTCTATCTTGCCAGAAGCATTTCTTTTGTCTAGGCAGATAGTAAGATCGGCAAGACTGACCAGTTTCCGCAACATTATTTGTGTTGGTGATAAGTCTGAAATGACCAATACTTGTTAAACAGGATAACATTTTTGATCACATTAAATGTATAATATAAAATACCACTGTGTTGGATAGGTTCAGTGGGTAAAGAATTATCAGAGTATAAGTTGAACTCAGATAATCACAGTGGCTGTGCAATCTGAAGTGTACACTTGAACACTGAACACTGGGATAATGGGTTCAAATCCCATTTCAATCATGAATGTAGGTCTATGTCCTTCTGTGAGGTTATGTCCTATGTAAACATAGGCCCTGAGACAGGCTGGACATGATGTTATATCATAGCACTATATGTTCATGTCCCAATGGATGATAAAAGAGATAACATAAAGAATGACTTTATATGGAGAACAACAGTGTCTGATCAGTTTCCTATATAACACACAAACATTTTGATAAATTTCAATGCAGGAGATATTTCAAACTGGCAATTGGAAATGAAAGTCTACATGCAGTTACTACTGACAAGGAGGTTAAGAGTAATAAAATTTTACCACTTTGAAAATTAAACAGCTAAGAGTACAATGTTACCAAACCATAGTAGATATAAGCACATTTGGAGTTCTCCTGATGGCATGACACAACAAAATCTGTCATATTTGAAGAGATACATGATATCATCCATAAATGACTGACATCAATTGTTTTAGATATGACTATAAAAATGATCACTATGTATTTATTACTGCAAAAATAAATTAAAGACAGTGAGTTAAACCAAAACTACGTATGTAAGATTTTGTATCAAGAACTTACAAAATGAAGAGATGCTAAAATCTCATAGAGTTTTAAACTCTTGAAAGTTTCAACAGGAGGTAACAGTGAACAATGTGATTAGCTGTTGGTTTAAAAAAAACAGGACTGTTTTTACCAAATTAATAACTATTAACTGTAATAAAATCCTATTGAGCATTAAGCATCATCATTGTAAACTCCAGTGTTTCAGAGACTATTTCTATCCTCATTATCTGTTGTAACTTTCAAATATGTAAACAGTCACAAGTATGGCACTTGCTATTAGGTAGTCTTAGTAAAAACATTAAAACATGCTAAGATTTCTTATTCTGAAAACTGAAACCTCCAAAACCAGAATATGATACTAATTGTATAGCAGGGCCAAAGTGTTGCAGTACTGACCTGTGAATGCTGGTTGCCATGATTTGTCAGCTGACTGCAGAGTCACAGTTTTCACATTGACAGACAGAACAATATCTTCTTCCACATATTTGAGGATAAGATTGTTGCATAAAATGGTAATGTTGCTCACAATCTTGTTCACTAGGCTCTGCACATAGCCTGGTGGTGCCACCACATCTTGTCTGTATTCATAAATACCTCTGTTACTTTCATGAGTTTATATTAACCACATATTTAAGCTACACCTGCATATAACACCGTCTCCTATTATTAAAAATACCATGGATTAAAAGACAAAGACAAATGTAACTGATTATTGCCTGTATCAGATACTAGTAACACACACCAGAAATCAAACTTCTACACCACAACCTAAAAGTGTGGTGCTATATAATTATATTCTATTCATTCACTATACAGCATCCAAATATAAAATGTCACAGACCAATGGTCTAATACAAATGAGTATTTGTATAGTGCCAATTTGTATCTAATAAGTAAACTTTTTTAAACCTTTTGCATCGCCTGTTTCTGTCTCCGTCTTCAGATGAGTGGTACCAACTCTGTTGAGTCTCTTAGACAGAGAGAGAACCAGCCTCCAAAACATCGTGGGTTTTTAAGAAAAGACAATGGAAAAAGTCCTGACAATGAATAATTTTAAGTGTAAACTACCGTCGTCAAAACCCTTTAGAAGTGAAGTAAACTTTTTCATTTATTCCTTATCCATCCGAGGAACCCAGATATTATTTATGCAGATTAAAGTGCTGGTCACTGGGTACACATTATTGTTATATGCCTTCAATCTACATCTGACCTAGTATTTGTTTCTCATTTCCCCACATTAGTTGTCTCATTTGTCATCATGCATGCCCGAAAACTGAATGACTGTGCATATTAATTTTATTCGTATAAACTTGAAAAACAGTGAATCATTCAACATATGTAAATAAGAAAGTAAAATATTCCACTCTATAATTTGCATTCGAAACATTTGTTCAATTTGTAGTTTACTTGGGTTATTTTTCACAAGCATTTATTTATGTCATGGATAATCTACCCATAACTGCAATATTTCTACCTACATCCTAAAAATGGTATGTACATTAGATATTTGAAATGCCTTGAAGAGAGAGAGAGAGAGAGAGAGAGAGAGAGAGAGAGAGAGAGAGAGAGAGAGAGAGAGAGAGAGAGAGAGAGAGAGAGAGAGAGAGAGAGAGAGGAAATTGGTGGGGGGAGAAGTGAGAGACACTTTTATTTCTGGGGGGGAGAAAGAGCATCTTATAGTTAGAAGGTCCCCAGTCAATGCCTGCTCGTCCTTCTGTTAAGGATAAAGTAAGAGCGAAGACGTTAGTGCGATAATTGGCAGAAAATACGGAATTTTGAAATGCCTTGAAGGACAAAGCACATCTACATAATTCAGTTCTTACCTCCAAGAAAACATACCACATCAATGTTACAGAGTTCAGTCTTTTACTGAATTTAAAGAAAAATCTTGATGTTTGCTGAGAACCAAATGAAACTCACAAAGATACCATGTAAGTGACATGCAGAATTAATGAACGTTAAAGTGGGTGACACATTTACCACTGTCATATAAAGGGTGAACAAAACATACCGCTTATTAGCTTTCCTACGGCTGTCCTTGGAAGTATTTGTAGCTGAACTTGCATGGCTTGCAGAATCAGATCCTACAGAATCTTCTCCATGCAACTTGAGTATGCATTCTGAAGAGAAAATGCACATGCTTTAATTTCACATACTTTACTGTAATCAGCATTTTTAGATCAGTAACCTTTAAACATGAACATGATGAACTACACCCTTAATAAACCACCTTCATAGCAGAAAGAAATTGTGAGGTTGAAAACAAAGTCTCCTTTAGAATAATACACATACTAAAGAGTCAATAAAACACACAATGTTGTAAGAGAAAGATGGGATATATGCTAATGAAATAAACATGTTTTTCGAATTCATTTATTGCAATTTTTCAGGCCTCGGATGGCTTTAATGTTCATATATGCAGATATGAACTTACTGTTTCAAAAATATCCATGTCCCAGAGTCTATCTCATCGTGATAACAATGGCAAAGAACACAAACAATGAAACCTCCCATTATGTAATTCTTCCATCCTCCTATTACTAGCCTATTCACTATAATCATATCAGACCTATAGTATTGATAGTGATGGTAATAGGTTCTGAAGCCAGCTTCGTCCATGGCACATGTATCAGCAACTCATGAATGTGACCACTAACAAAACTGAATGGCAGCTGTAGTTCCTGCTCCAGTACTTCCAACCTAAGATCCAGGTTGTGGAATGAAGCATCTCCTCCCCATAATGACACCTGAAACATAACTAAGGTACTGAAATCAACTGTAACACTGCTTGCAGCATATGATGACAAAGTGAGCATCTCTTCATGAAAACAATGAAGTATAAACTATTTCTAGATTGTTCCAATGACGAAACAATTAATCATGAAGAATAATTTATTTACAAGAAAGTTTATAAGGGGAAATACACATTTCAAGCAAGTAATAAATAAAATTAAAGTTTCTGACAAGTAATTACCAACCAGGCTAGTGAACAATGTTATTATAAGAACTCTTAGGTTAGGTAATAACAAGATTTGTCTTTGCATTTTGTATAGTAACTGACAATCCATTATAACTATGCATAATGCAATTTGATGTAGTTACTGAATAAAAATACCATACACAAAATGCACAAATTCCATAAAATAGATATGGGTGCAGAAGAAGCATATCACTATCATCATCCTGCCAGGTTTAACATCATGTGGCATGTTACAAGTAACCACACAAAACAAAATAATTTTGATAAAGAGACTTCTTGAAAAGCGCACACTTTGTTGACTGAGAAGATAGGGCAATAACATTCAAATTGATCTTTAAAAGAGAGGTTTTGAGGGCCAAAGTTAGATGAAATTGGCTCAGGATCATATCCAATACCAAAAAGCGCACACTTTGTTGACTGAGAAGATAGGGCAATAACATTCAGATGGATCTTTAAAAGAGAGGTTTTGAGGGCCAAAGTTAGATGAAATTGGCTCAGGATCATATCCAATACCAGACTTTGGTATTAAGTGTTGTTGAACTTTCTGATTCTGCTACCACAGAGTTCACAAATAAAACATTCACTTTATGGGTTATTTACATTAGTGTGGAACTATGGAACTGAGAGTAATCTTACCTGTGAATCCTCAGGTCTAAAATTCTTTATGTACTTGTCTACATAGCTCAGTAATATTGGTGTGATGTAAGATTCAAGCTTGAACATTGTCCTGCTACAATGTTATTCAATACTGCAGTTCATCTTGACTCTAAAACATAGCATTGATAAAGACACAATTACTTGATGTTGCTATAAAAAATAAGACAGGGCCAATTTCAAATCCAGCCAAAATATGTAGTTACTGACTGGGAAGAATAAAAACAACAACAATCCAAAGTAGGATTTGAGGTTTTCATGGCAGTAAACATGAAAATGGCTGTCTTATGGTTTGTTGTTTACCAACGTTACAGAAGCCCCTACCACCTCCATTTTCCTCGTTTCTACCATGATGATGGAAGCAGCAAGAACCTCTGAAACGTTGGTAAACTTCTACCAACGTTGCATGGCACTACAACCTGAAGACAGCCACATTCAACCACATCCTAATCAGTCTTAGCAACAGAATATATCTAACATTTTAACTATTTGAGAGTTAGACTATGGATAGATTGATAAGTTGCAGAGGGTGACTTTAAATAGCCACCCATGTGATATTTACCTTCTGGGTTCATACGACAGCAACTAATTGTATGGCACACATCTGGACCACTGCACTGTTGTTAGTAATTTGTTTTATTCTTGAATGTATTGTGTCAATGATATAAGTTCATGTTCAATATAAGCATTACTATGTAGTTAAATTTTAATTTAGAAAATGAGTCACTTATGCAGTTGTGTTGAGTAAAAGTTGTGACTTCGTCCTTTGGCAATATTTTTTACTTCCCTCGTCACCAATAATTGTCTATGCGAAAATTATCTCCAACACATTTTTTCATAATTGTGACAAGTGGAAACTTAACACGAAATTGAGCACCTTCAATAAAATCATTATCACTGTCATTGAAGTTATCATGTGTCCGCTACATTATTCCATCAGACATACTACGCACACTTCGTTACTCAACCGTGACCATCGTTCTGACAACTCTAATAATCCGTCAGTGCATCCTTCTATATTATACTCACACCGAAAGTCGAAATATACGTACCTTAAAATGCTATAATTCAGACTATTACCTTAAAATATCTCCATAAGAAGTACATAACCTCTATTCGGTACAGAGTTAGCCACTGTTAGGTTATCTGTGCTATTTGCAAATATCTGGGGTGTTGGCCATGAGTTTTCTCGTAATTGTGTGTTCATTTGATAGTCAATCGATAAAGAAGTTCACAGCATACATTTTATGCCATGTTTAGAAACTGTTTCGTCGACATCTTCATTGTAGTGCATATTATTTCTCGAAACAATGAATATTTCAGTGGGCTGGTCACTCACTACGCATAAATGCACGCTTTAAAGACTATGAAACCTCCGAATGGAGGCGGCGATGACCCGCTACTGGGTTAAGCTACAAATAGAATAGAATAGAATGGAATGAATATTTAAAGAAACAATATTGTATAATAGGAAGAAAATTACAGTCACTGAACCTGCGAAGGCAAGGAACCCATATGAGTTTTAGGTTCTCCTGGCAACAAGTATTCTGGGATGTTGCGCAGCGGTGAGTCGTTACCCTGATGATGGCGGCGGAAAGTTCTTCAAACACGTCGATATCTACCATACTATATGGTGCAGCATCCTAGTTAACACCCATCTTCAAGAAATCCTATTTGCATTAACACATGAAACTGGTTTTCTGTCCCTAATAATCTTATGAATTATTCCCTTTCCAAACCAGTTGGTAAAATATAGCTTGCATGTAGAGCCAAGTTTATGACTGAATGGTGGTATCCCTCCATGTCCACATATTTATTTATGGTATGTGCTCAAATAAGTATAGGGATAACTTTATGTTTGCCTTATTAAACAAATCAAGACAAACCAAATTTCTTTAGAAATTATGGTCCTGTTCATGTAAGCAAATGGACAACACTTCTGAAGAGTTTTGTAAGTGGGTGGTAGGCTATCAGTTAACAATAAGCCTCAATCAGATTAGTACTGGTTCTAGCAGTGCAGTGCATACGCCCACCCAAAATGTGACATAAGTATAAGATGAATTTAAATACAAAGTTGATCAAAAAGCAAACATTATCACATGTTTATTTTTCTCCTGACTTGGATTTAATTTATTTTGTACTTCTTATTTGTGAGCTATGTATTTAGGCTTCTCAGCCCTGATGGAATTCTGAAGGAATTGTCAACCTATCAGCTCCCATCAAAATATACTAAATACACCTGGTACACATCCTTTGCTGATTGTCTGAAAGAACCACCAAATTTATACTCTAAATATCTAAATTACCACTGCAGTTATATATATTATTACCTGATTTATGCAGTATGTGCATTCCTATAAATCACTGTATAATACAAAAGCATGTAAATCGAAGCTATTTTTACAGACTCATTATTTAAAGAGGGTTACATTTTTGACTGAATATGTTTCAATTTTAAATTCGGGGAGTGTTATTTCTAACATTGTAAAAGCATATAAGAGCATTGAAGCATAGGACACTGAATAATGAGCTGACATTAAATATATGTATAATTTATTTATTATTTGTATTTACTGAAAATGCTTTTGAAGATTACTTGGTAGGGTTAAATTAAAGGAGATTAATTAGAGGAGGTGGAAGGAGTAGGGTTTTACACAGACAAACTATAAGGAGTAGGTTAAACAATACAAAAGAACATCTTGATAAAAACCTTAACATGTGATACACCCTGTTTTCACAAACAATGTTCAGGTGAGCTAGTCATGATGGAACAACCATTACATGTAGTGTGAAGGATTTATTACCTCATTCAAAGAACCAAGTCATATAGTGTAGGAAATGCCAGCCTCTTAATAGGTCACAGAATAAATGAAAATACATAATAATAATTACAACAGTGATAATAATACAATAATTTTGATGTGACAGCCGGCTTTACTTCCCCTCTAAAGAAAGTTGTGCTACAGATTTTTATCACACTTAAAAATCCACCAACCCCGGCTGGGTTTGAACCCACAAACCTTGGGTCCAGTGGCAAGCACGCTAACCACTAGACCACCGAGGGCAACTTATGAGAAGTTTATATAGAATATAATTAAGATTAATTGAAAGATGAGTTCTTTGAAACATATGTAATTGATTTTACTCATAGAATGTCAAAAACTGATAAATGTTATACAAAATCAGGTACAACTGGTTACTGAAGCAAATGGTAGCAACCAATAAATTAAATCATTTTAATAAATCAGAAGTACTTGGAAATCAGAAATAATTGTGATATGCATGAAATATATAAACTGTCGCCAGATTGATTAATCGCTTCTGTACTTCTTCTTTAACCTCTTAAATGTTATTCATTAGACAAAGACATAGGGCTATTATTTGGTGTTTGAGATCAGTGAAAGAAACATATTCTGGCATTTCTTAACAGTTGAAGTTTATTTTTTGTCCTTCAGCAATATAAATGTTACCAAGTATAACATTTAAATGTAAAAAGATTTATTGAAATAAAAATAAGTCTGGAAAGAGTTACCACATAAGTGGTCCTTCATGTATTACAATGCTGTCTAATAAAACTGGAAATTCGTTTTTAAAATCACATTAAAGTGAGTTTTATTAATTAATAAACATATCATATGGACCGAAACAGAAATCTCTTTTGACTGATTTAAAAACAAATTATTTAAAAAATTGTTCCCATTAACAATAATATAAAATATAATGAATTTTTAATTATGTGATATTTTTATCTTTAATCCTGCAAATCGTAAATAATTTAACCCTTGCTTTTTTATCATGGCACAGGGACTTAGGATTTTAAAAACATGTATTTATTGTAACAAATGTATGCTTAATAATTATATAGTACCAAATTCCTTGAAGAGTTCTAAGGGACTAGGCATTTATGGTTTATATGGGAAAAGTAATTAGTAATGAAAACTTATACAGCTTATAGGCTGTATGTTATGTATTTTTGTGCACATGTATGTGTGTGTGCATGCATGTATGTATATTTGTTCTGTCAGACAAGAGATCTTTTTTCTGTCTAGAAGCAACCTATATATTGCAACACAATGAAAAAAGAAAATGGAATTATTTTCATAACTGACAGCACTGTGCACACATGCACATGAGTGCATGCACGTGCGTGCGCACACACATGCGCACACAAGCTAGTTAAGACATTTCTGTTAAATATTCTTCAAAGTTACACTGTCTTGCTCACTTGCTGTTCACATGGCTGGTATAGTGTATCTACTATCATGCTGGAGAGCTCTGCGTACTGCCTGCGTTGCCTCTTCAATTTCACTTCTACGCTGCCGTTCCTCACGTAATAGCGCCAATCCATTCCGGGCTGCAGTGTTGTACCGCTGGCTGAGTGAAACCTCTGTGCTGCGCACTCGAGGGATGTGGCCCGTATATCCTGCAATGGGTGGAAACTCAGGAGAGATGTGGTTATCTGTAACACATTAACACATGCACTACACATCACACTGTACAAATGCATCACCCTTCCAAAAAAAATGCTCTGATTTAGCATTAAATGTTTGCTGGTTTAAACTAACTCCATGGAGCTGTTTTATGAAACTAATAGTCAAGAAATTTCACACACTTGGATGGTTTGCATGGTATCAAATAATTATATTCATTAACTGTAAAGACTGTGGGCATAAAGATATCATTATTGTTACAATTAATTTCTGAACACTACTTTTTAAAATAAATTGTCATATGAACTTTAAAAAAGAACATGTATTACTTGCATAATGATCTGGCTGTATCAGATGAAGAGATTACTTAGCATTAAATGATTTGTGAAGATCATTATATACAGAGAATTATCCAGACCTGGAAGGAAGTGCTTTCATTCACATGGAGAAGATAAGGAAAACAATAAACAACCTCGATGAGGAAGCAGTTTCTAGCCAAAATTACAATTAATTACATCCAGATTATAAGTCAAATGCTTTACTGATGTGCTACCTCAGGTCAGTATGCTTTGATTCTTGGTTTATTTAACAATGCTGTTTCAACTATTTTGATTGTGTAGTATTAAGACAGAGTGATTTGTGAATGATGAATTGGAAAGTGTGTGGCAGGAAGCAACCATGGCTTATATTAAAGCATTATCGTGACATTTTCCTGGAATGACTGAGGAAAATGATGAAGAATATTATGGATCATGAGCCTGCAGTTCAAGTAGAACCTTCCAGCACAGAACAGGATTGCTGACCACTTCACTGTAATATTCAGGTACTCAGTATGGTGTCCTGTTCTGTATTGTTGGCTGCATACTTTTCATCATTACACCAGCACTTTTGATAGCACAACTTGCTCGCACTCTTTTAATTCATATTATCTAAGTTCTGAAGGAAAGCTTTAGTCTTCTTGGTTGCAAAGTTTCAGAACCACTGGTCAATGTCACACTTTCTTTTGCCACCATAATTGTGGTTCTGAAGAGAAATTTCAGGCAGTTAGAGGATGAATCTAGGTGGGGAGGTGGGAATGTTTCAGAAACACTGTTCAGTTGCATATACATACCACTATATTTGCAACTATGGTAGTTGTTTAATGTGTTCTTCACTTCATCTCTGGATCGGACAGGGGGCATTTTAGGAGCAGACTGTGACCTGTGCCCACGATCCTTCTCTTTCCTCACTTTCTCTTGTGACATTCTCTGACTGAATTCCATCACACTGTCATCTGCTGCTCGCTGGAAAGATTTGCCATATCGGAAATTCATCCCTGGAATATAACCTGACAAAAATGTATAGCATTAGGTAGTGCATTTTCTCTGTTCAAAATAAACACATGATACTTTACCTGCACTATCTGTTGTAAGATATAAGTAATATAGTTTGAAAGTTTTGCTTATGGCAAATTCATACACCTTGATCACTTTCTCTAGTCTGTGCCTGTCTGGCATCGGTCCAGGTCCGAGGGTAGCTCAACCACCAGGCCCAACAGATAGGATTTCTGCCCTCTTTCACCTTTTAACCTGAAGATGGAAGCAAAATCCTACTCCAGAAATGTAGTTTTATAATTTCAGATTTTATAACTTAGATGATGGACGAAGTACAAAAGAATAATTTTACACAATAAGGATTCTTGTTTAACAGCAATATCAAAATGAACGTAACAATTTCCATGTGGAAATTCAAAATCTCCACAATGATCTTAATAATTAAAAATTGTTATAATGCAGCAGGCAGGAATGAGGAGGATTGGCAGAATATAGTCAGTGGAGTAACAAAGCTACAGATACCTAGTTCCTTGATATTGAAATGCGTTGAAGAATTCTACTCCTACCTGTGTATCCCAGCACATATCTACGGGCCCTGTGTTTAAAAGGCAGCACTGGATCCTCAGCATGACCTTCTTTACGAACTGCTGTGGTAAGTACCACTTTGTTGGGATCACTTTGTCTGTACGGCTCATGGCGAACTGACAAATCTTTCACACTCAGTTCCTTGAAATAAAACATATTTGATACAGTAATACACTAGTCACTGCCATAACAGAAGTGATTCACTTCTCTCGTACATGTTGTCATAAATATGCAAACATTTAATAAAGTTGATCTCAAGTACTATTTAAATTAAAGCAAGAGGCAGTTGAATTCTTGGTAGGTATAAAACTTGAGTGTGCTATTTAAGTAGGTCTAACTTAAAACTGTTTATTCTCCCAAGTATAAATATAACTATACATTAGTGACATTTTAAATCTACTCTAAACATCTTTTTCTTTTAATGGATTATATATTGACTTCATTACTGGTGATGCCTAACTTCATACAAGCACTGAAAGCAGTGGCGGCCAGTCCATAAGAGCTGCAGCACCCCCTATAATTTTTAAAAAATTAAAATATCTTTTGTATTTATTTAATTTGTAACACTTTTTTCCCTCTATATCATTATTTTAATATTGCCCCTTACGTTGTCATTATCCACTAATCGGCTGATCTGATAGTAAGTTCACGGGCGAGGACTGCGAAGCAGAACGGGGCTATCATCCGGCTGCAAGGATTTCAGGGGGGCCAGCCGGTCAAAAGCAGAGAGCGCGGCGGGCGGTAGAGTGAGGGGCAGTTCACTGGTAGAGCGCGTATCGGGGCTGCAGTCCCAGCAGCCGGCTTTTAGTAAACACCCTTGTCCGGTACCACGTGTTTTAGACCGGTTTCTGTATCACAAACTGTTTCGTGGTTATTGTTAATGAGTGTTCAGTAATTCTGTGTGCTGACTATTTTTCGTTCTAATAATGATAATGAGCAAAGGAAGTGTATCATAGTTACGGCAAATTATTTATTTTTGTCTTAGAGTGAAAAAAGTTACGTAAATAATTATGGCCGCCCTCTTCCGGACTTCCAAGCACATATGGGTTTTCTCCTGATGTAAATTTAATTTCGTTTATTTATATTGTTTTGTGTTGTTTGCGATGGGTTAGATTATCCTGGAGAATTTCTAGCGTGTTCAACGGGTGATCGCGGGGTTGTCCTGAAGAAGTGCTGGAGAAGTCCTGGAGAAATTCTGGATAAGTCGTAGTGAGGTGTAGGACTAGTCCTGGATCATTGGTCATGGAGAAGTGCTGGAGAAATCCTGGAAGGTTATGCGGAAGCCGTAAAGCAGCGGTGGGTTTTATCCTATGCCGGTCGGTTATTTTGGATTCATTTACGTTTGATTGGTATAAGTTATATTGGCTTAGGTTAAGTTAGGTTTAACTAGGTTAGCTATGGTAAGGTTAGGTTTTATTAAGCTACCCGTTTATAGACAGCACACTTATTCAAGCAGTTGCTCACAACATTTTATGCCATTTAAAGCATAGTATCAAAAAATATCACGGAAATTATGCACGGAACCACAACCTAATATATCCCGAACTAGAGTCAGTGGGGAACAAGGATCACCTCAGGGTTGACGTGGTAATTTTTATGTATATCAATAAATACAGGAATAACAAATTTAAGAAACCGAATAATTTTACTTTTGAAATTAAAGAAAATCTTATACACTATTTCCCTAACTGGTACAAAAGTTTGGTTTACTGGCTGAAAGCCCGCTGTCGACTATGTCCACTCGAGTAATGCCATGTGTTTTGACCTGCATACCAGATCCCTTGCTGGCGAGGGAACCTCCACATATGGCTAACTATAAATAAAACATTTCGATCTTCTTTACTCTTGACAGAAGCATAAATGCCTAGTAAAACGCTATTGGTGAGGTCAGCTGTTAAATATTTGGAAATCTCGTGGATTTGATCCTTGCATAAAGTATGCTGCACCAACTCCATGAAATTTAACAGAACAACAATTCGACTGGAAACATTAAATAGTTCCACATGCATCGTACACAACTGTGGCGAGGAACCATATGTTTCAAAGAACACAGGTATTTTTTTTTCCGAGGGATCATGCCTACTCCAGGGGAAATACATAATCCCATAAAAAGAAACACAATGAATTCCAAACACTTGACTTCGAACGAAAATAGAAGACTATGAGTATTAGTTTTCTAAAACAAATGTCGGTCCTGACATGTGCATCTCGATATAGATGGCGAGTAGGAAATTGACACCATCGTGCTAGAACTGAAAGAATTTTTGGTGAAGACCTCCACATTTCGATTCACACAAAGCAGAACCGGAGGGAAAGAAGCAACCTATGTTTTACCTATTGTTTTGCATGAGTAAGACGGTTTCTCAACGTAGGAAAAGCACAAGGAAGTGTCTGGCAGCAGGATGTGAGTATCAAATACGTTAACCGTTATATTCTGTGTAATAACCCGCACTCGTTACAAAGACTTCCATTAGTTGAGGAACTAAAGGCGACAATAAACTTATGTTGCATGTAATATTGTAGGCCAACTAGTAAGACTAATTTTAATTAAAACCGAAGAACTGTAACTTACTAATGATATCATACGAGATAACAACCTCAATAGCTAACGATTTATAATCTTTCGGAGATTGAAATATCGCACCGAATGGCAGCTTTAAGACCTCAGGTTAAATTGGGGCTTTACATAAGGAAATTAAAATAAAACCTTCAACCAGTACCTTGATAATATCTTTAGTGTTTGCTCCATATGGTTTACCAAAGCGGAATTTAAGTGTAGGACAATGGCCGGTATACCTAAAACAGAGAAAGTAATATATTACTTGCTTACAGTACATCAATACAGCAGACCTACAGATTTCGTCCATATGCTATGATTTAGTTACCACAGAAGTATAACACAATGATTTTAATTTAATTTGCATCACCGTGGATTACCTTATTTCAATTAAGACGAATTTTAGCAATTGCATTTATAAACAAAAGTTCAAAGCAGATTCCATTGAAGTGGTCTAAAAAGAGAGATGTTTCATCTCCATTCCGTTTTAATTTTGATCGAAGTATGTTATCAGAAAAACTGAGAGAAAGCATAAGGAATTCAAATTGAATGAGAAACACCAAATACCGGTAGCTTGTATTTTGAAGCTTGTGTTAATGTACGAACCTTAAATCCAAATACCGTAAAAGAAAACTTGTAATACTCTTGAGAAGGCATTAAGTAGCAAATACAAAAATAAACGGTTAAAAGGCATGCAAAGCACGCATTTGATTTTATAGTACGCAAACTTGTTTCCAATTTAAAATGTTAAAGGATTAAAATATCCGAAAGTTCTGGCCTGCAAGCGATCAGGCTTCTTTCAGAAATAATTCTTAAACCCCCTCCCCCAAAGAAATATTAAAAGCACCTCGAGGGGATTACTTTTATCATATTCTCAGGACACAGCTGATAGTCGTTGCACGTTTCCGAAAAGTAACTCTGAACTCTAACGAACTTCAAACGTGTGCATCTGCCCCCCTGATTCAATTAAGCAAATTAATATTACATACGCTGACTGACTACATCTTAGTACCCTTCAACTACTTGTCATCAGAAAACATCAACATGGCAGTAGTGCGAAACAATTTTATACACAAAATTGGTTCCCAGACATCCATAGCTCTTTCGTCCAGAAGAAGTTCAGTCCAATTCATTTTGTATTTTATTTTATAGCCACCCCGAATACCAAATGGTTGCAACTTCAACTGAACCCAGTCCCCAACAAGAAAGTTCCAGCACTGTAGCCACTGAGTTACAGTGCATAAAACCTAAATGAAAACATAATAACGATGCACAATAAATATTTTATTGGCCTGAATGACAAGCAGCAGTCCTATTCCTTCGCCATAGTCAACAATTATTCATTATTACCTCACTGGTATGGTAAAATAACTTCACCAACTCAAAAACACAAACCAAGTCTTTGTGAAACACGTTCCCCTCGACAAGGATATTTTAGGAAACGCTGGGGAGCACTGTGCCATTTTCAAATTCTGTAAGAAACATCTGTGCTCTTGCATGCTGCAATGAAAAGGTAGTAGATAAATGGAAATTAAGTTTCGGGTGAGAAATGTTAATTTATGAAATAAATTATAGAGATTGTAAGCTTTTGACCTACAGTGGACAACGCGCCTAAAAATTATCGCGGTAAAGGCACAGTTACATTGATCACAAACGTAGAAGACTCTCTATTGATTTCTAATGTTATGTCCTATATAAAGACGATCAATACTAAGGCTTCACTTTTCAATGCTTTTGCATACAATGAAACATTTGTTTTCGTGTGTAAATAAAGACTGAAATGATTCAACAATTTTTTGTTAAATTCTCCAATATTAAGTTGTATAATAATTTGTTTATCCGTTTCTCAGTTTTCTTTTTCATGCATACTGAGAGACCGACGAATAGAATACGAGATACAGATGTCAGCGTGTCCCTTAAGCTGTGGCTAAGCGCCCAAATACTGCATGCCTACACACTTATGTTTCTTAGACAATAAAAGCGAATTAGGAGCATAACTTATTTCTACACCATACATTCAACTTATGAGAGTGTCCTCAATGTTTATTAGCTAGGTAGACAAGATCCAACATTCGACAGATTGTCCCATTTGCAACCACTGATCCTTTGGATTTTGTTTCGTCAGGAAATACAATTTTGCCCAGTCAATCAAATGCTACTTCTCTCTCTATTTTCTTCTTCTTCTTCTATTTTTACACGCGTCAACTAGCAAACTCAAAACGACATTGGCCATCAGTTTCGACTTAATGTGTTCTACTATTTGCAGTTTATAATAGGCCTACCCTCAGATAAAAAAGTATTATCTTTTTCGTTGCAAACTGTTTGGCTTGCTAAACAGTCTACTTAAATTTGGTATAGCCTACAGACATTCTGTTATTGAAATCGCATTCTTGCCAATACCACTGAATTGCGAGTTAATTTCCCCTCATCTTCTCAATATAACATTTCAACAGACTACCGCCACTGAAGCAATTGGGTGAGATCACTATCAGTGATGGCGTGCTGTGATCATCTTCCTCCGCCAGGCACCACGAGGGATCCCTGTGTATAGATCCTAACCCCGGTTGCATGTTGCCACTTCATAAAATAGGTATGCAGCGATGGGAGGCTTCACTCAAAATATGATTTATTCCTTCACCTCACAGCCATGTTCGTAAGGGCATAACCACAAAATTGTTCTCGAAAAGTTTCGTTTTGTAATGCATTCTTTGTACGAAGCGCAAATGAAAGTATAATGGGAAGGTCTGGTGTGCATCCGGAACTACTACAAAGATTTCAAAGAAAGTTGGTATCGGAGTTCTACGCCGAAAGTTCCCGAACGAAATTTGAGTTTGTTCTGTCCATTATGTTATTTTACTAGGAGCGCAAATTAGTATTTATCAGTGTTATAAAAATGGTTCATGGCAGAAAAACTGCTGCATAAAACAGCCTTAAATGTAATTAAGATTTCTACTTAATTTCTAACACAAAACAATCTTCGATATAGTGTACATTTAAAGATTTCAAGAAAAACATTTCTTGCTGTGTTCGGCATCACTGAAGAAAAATACTGGCTAGTTAGTGCGGTGCAAGAACAAATTATTTGTACAATTAGAAGTTCTTTGTCATGTACTATTCTGCATTACTCACTTACGTCATTTTTAGCCAAATATTTTCATCAGTAATCTGTTTCCTGTTTTTACCACAAAATTAAGAGTTGAGTACGTACAGAATTCTAGTTTATATTTGGTGCACCACAAAATGTGAGGTGGGACAAACTGTTGCGTTTCGTGTATAATTATAATAAGAAATAGCACATTGTTAAAGATACAATGGCACCTACATTTTATGCAACATCATGCTTACTCGGGGCAAAAATTAAAAGAAACGCCCAGCAGTGACAGACATTGTGTTGAACAAGTCGCAAAAGAGGAATTGTTCGCAAAATTAATAGAACTACATTCACTAGTCGGATAGAAATGCAAACAGCGTGATCGAATAACGACTTTTTCATGGAAATCTTCCAGAATTTTACTATGGCTGAAGAAAGTCATGGAAATCCTCAGGCAGGATAGCCGATCTCCAGGCCGAGATTCGAATCCAGGACCTCACAAATACGAAGCACAATTGCTAACCATTCGACCGTGAACATTAGGTTGCTGCAACTTGAAGACGTCGATTAGATAAAGATAAAGAGGCGTTAAATAGAAACTTTTGTCCTCCAGCAGCGTTCAAAGTTGCTTTATAGCACGGGCTATTGTTTGCTTGGTCAACTTTGAAATAGTCTGACAGCATCGCTGGTTTTGCTTCTCTCCTTTCACTTGTTTGGAGAGGAAACGGCTGGTCGATAGAGTTAGTTGTCTTTGAGACGCGTAAGTAAATACTACAGGCCTTTTGTGCCTGCTCACATGCAACAACTTTGTATTTATCACTTACATTGAATCTACAGAACGCATTAAATCTGCCGTTTACGTAACGTAGGTCCAAGCACTGATTTCTTCGTCTCTAAATAGTGTTACTGTCACTAAATTCCACAGAAATTGCATGAAAAACAGACCTATTTAGCGAACGTGAGCGAAAAACACCTGATGGGCTCAACCACGTCTGTCTGTCTGTTTCTCTCGGCTTTCCTATGGAGGTTGGTCATTATTACCCAACGATGAGAACTCTTCCCACTGTTGGAATACATCGTTGTGCAAAAATGACCACATGACATTCGTTCAAGTATGATATACGCAGCAACAATGACCTGGGATCACATTAGTACAACAATGACTTGAACATCACATATGAAATGTCAGGGTAATATTTTATTTAAATTACCGCAGTGTTGTTTCAAGAATGAATACTGCTACTAAAGAATGCCACAGGAAAGTTTACTGAGTCTGATGAATATTCTTCTTTAGGGTACACTGTTATCTTCGGGACAATTAAAATACGTTGAGGAATATTGTAAGGTAATTTAAATACACCCTATAGGATGTCTGTGTGTTAGCTGTAACAGTATAATTGAAGTTATTACGTAATAATCACGTTTCTTGCGGCTATTACCACAGCTGACCTCTACGTTGATGTTTCAAGGTTAACTTGCACTTCGTATCTTTGCGCAACCATATTTCATTAGAGTTCACTAAGTTATGAGCATTGATGACTCGATCTGACACACCATGCCTGTCGTAAGTTTGGTCGAAATGGATGTCAACAGCTACTGTGGCGCCTGTCCTCACATGACACTTTGATTTATGAAAGAATTTGTTTTACGACCTGCAAAACATCACTCGGTGACCAAAAACGACTTGGAATCTTTTAAACGTCTATCAGTGGGAACAATGAAAAATTATAGACGTTCTCAGTACCGAAATCAACAACACTTAAGCCTGAAATGTTACAAGAAGGTAGTTCTGGCATGATTCACATCGGCACCCTTTTCTCAGTACGTAGCTTGAAATAGTTTGATAAATTGCAATGACCAATTTTCTTGTGTTACGTGGTCCGATCCTCCACCTAACCCCATAGGGTCTTAACCCAATAATATTCTATGTTCCCTCACTTCAACCTTAAGATGGAGGCGGCATATTACCGCTAAAGGTTAGTACACAACCAGAAGACAACAATCGAAAATAGGCAGATTACGTAAGATATTGTTTCATGATATACGATGATGGTAAGGGTTTAGTAAGAAGGCGTCCGTGCAATGGTGTACGATATGTGACGGTGCTATACCGACATTTATACAGGAAAAACTGAAGGATAACAACGAGAAACCTCGTATTCCAGCCGATCCCAACCAGGCAGGTGTGAGACACCCGTAGGTACAGCGCGTTGCCGCCTGTCATTGAAACCTACTACGAATTTCACGAATCCAGACCACATCCTTACATTTTCTTTACCATTCATTTTAACACTATTCTCCTATGTAGAACAAATACATAGGTCTGTAACACTAAACGAGAGCTACAATATATGTAGGCTACCAGTCTGATTCTGGTAAAAAATTACGCTCTTTTCTGTTCTAATCGGTTCTTCAGGTTCTCCGTTAGCAGCTAGGAGTATTTTAATCGTGCTAACAAACTTCATTATCACTTACCTAATTAATCGTGTAATTTGTTTACCTATGTTTAGTATGCATATCACGTACAAGTGTTTGCAGTGAAGATGCAAAACTTAGAGACAGCTCTTGGAATATGAGAAACAGATATTTTAAATGGTAATAAGAAGACCAATGGAACATGTTTTATCCGTACTCCCACGATCTTCAATGCATTTAGCTTACATATATTTATTAAACAAGTTAATCGTTTTAACGTATAGCATTTTAACTATTGTTTTGTCTGGGTGTAACCGTCTCCGCAATAAAAGAGCACAGACTGATAAAGTTTGAAAACAGTGATCACAAGAAATTTTGAGGCAAAAAGGAATAAAGCAATAAGAGGCTGGAGGCAATTTCGTAATCTGTACTCTTTAAGAAATATTATGGTGACCAAATCAAGGAGGATGTGGTGGGTGGGACAAATGTTAAAACGCAAACGAAAGGAAACATAATAAATATATAGGCCTACATTTATTCTGAAAAACTGAAGTGAATACATCACTTTGGAGATCTAGGCGTAAATGGGAAGATAGCGAAAATGAATCTTAAAGAAAGGGGGTATGAACTGGATTCAAATGGCTCGAAGTGTGTTTGAACGACGAGATTTTTGTGACTATGGTAACGAACATTAGGATTCTATATATGGTGGGAAATTTCTTGAGAATCTGAGCTATTGTCAACTTCTGTCGGTTGGAGTGAGTTGTTCCGAAGAACACAAAACAGCAAACCAACTACATAAGAATACAGTGATAGCAAGAAAGGCATAAGTAAATATTTACTGTATTATAATTATATGCCTAACTTCAGTAGTCTTGCTTATCAGTTAATCAAATCGTTTGAACCAACTTGCTTAAAATACAGACCATTCAAACATATCAAAATATCAATAGGCTGTAATATTTAGAAAAGGGTAGGCGTTTGTGTGTGTCCTACGTAAATTACTCTATCAACTTCTCTCTTGGTATCAACGTTTAGAATTCATGGTCCACAACATAAAGCCAAGATTTAATTTACGATCGAAAACATTGCTCACTATATTCCCAAATACAATTCACGATTCATAACAAACACGTAATATAGGTTCATGTTCTACATTTTGACTACAGGAGTTTACACTTCAACACTTGTGCTAAAGGTAAGCAGTGTTTACTGCTCGTGAACTGAAACCCGTGAGACGAGTTTCTTTCGGTACGAAGTATCTATTTACAAACAAGAAAGGTAACAGTCATAAGTGTAGAAATTTGTAATAAAAACATGACATTGAAATGTCATAGTGCTGCCAAAACACACACGACATATACATTTGTCTCTTACCCGGGTATGAGAGAACCGTCAGGTACCGTCATAAAAGAATTCTTCTTTGGCGCTAAGTACTCCACATACATGATGACAACATGCGAACACACGAGACTCTAGTAGCCAACTGATTCGGTCGGTGTGGGATTGTGAACAAGTGACCTCGTACGATCAATCCGCGGCCAGTTCAATGGACAGACACTCCGTGAACATGTTTCAGCCCTCAAAACATTTTAACAGTATTTAGTGAGGAATTTTAACTTGCTGAGGAATTTGAAGCATTTCGAACCAAACTTCTAGCTTCGCATGCGCAATTAAGGAATGTAATTCATTAAAGACTTTTATAATGTTTTTCGCAATTGTTGTTTCTTCTATTACAATTGTAATTATTACCCTTGCCTGGTGTTATTCCCAAACACATTGTGCACAATTATTTTAATGTTGATATTAATAGCTCTTTATTGTTTGCGTCTGATACGAGTTTAATCCAATTTCTTTTTCCATCTTGCAACTTCCATAACTTGAGGTGTTACACTTTCACCATACGTTTCGGATTTTGCGCCATCTGCGAGACCTTTCGGTACCATTGACTCCAAAAATCTGGTATAATTTTAAGGTTTAGTTTTATTTTGTTCTTACTCCATTTTTTTATTTTTAATAGACCATCTGAACAACGCAAACGAACAGCGGACAGTGCACATGTACGACATGTCATAGATTTAAGATACAACAAAGATTACTTTTACATTTTGCCTACCACATGCTTGGACACACATGGACTTGATCCGTGCTACAGCTTAAGCTACAAAAGTTCAGAAGTCGTGACATGTCATAGAAAATTGTCGTAACATGTTTAATGTATATGTGGTAGTTAGTGGACCACAGATTGTGCCCATCTGCAAAACACAGATTGTCCGAGTCAAAGAAAATAAAAGTACTGCGGATCCGTGCCCCAGATGCACAGCGAACGAGTAACGTCAGGAAGCTCCACAAATGACTGTAGATGCGATATTGTTTCAGCTGTAAGTTACAACAGACTGCTAATTTGTGAAAGTGTTGGTGAAGCATATCGTATATTGAATAAGCCACAAAAGACAACGATCTGCAATATGTGTCGCTGGACGATTTGGCAGATAAGTTGCTCTCAGTGCGTATTGCCTGTCACTGAACGATAACTGTAAAAACGATATCTCTATCGATATGTATGCTTTGAACGCTTCCTATTTATCTGTTACACGTACTGTCATCTAAATGAGGCAAATTTAACACGGACTTTTTAGTTGTTGCTGGAGTTTCAACGATATTGCCTGCATTGTGAATGCAAGTATATAATTATGATTAACTTTTGCTGCTCAGCCTTAAATCCCACGGTTGTGTGCAGTACTGTGAGCACCGATGGTTACGAGGTTACAAATTTGGTCTCAAGTGATGCTGAAGAAGCTCAGAAAGGCTTTTTAGCTTATAATGCTATTAGACCTCCGGTATCAATAACTATACACTTCATTTGCAGCGTGAATGTAAGTCATGTAATCCTCTGGCCTCAGGTTGGTTACCAGAAATCGACTGGTTTTGAAATTTATGCAAACTCAGCGCCTAAATCCAAACCACAAATTTATGAAAAGGCTGCATTTGGCTATCTCGACGATGATGAAACAGGTATAATATTTTATCGAACAGTCTATTATGATCAGTACACCAGATCAATTAAACATCTGAAGTCTTTTGCTCAGAGAGCAATTTTTGGAAGCACATGTTCTTCTCTTAATAATACAAGAAGTTTACAGATTAAAATTATTAAAACTAATTCATCAGTTCCTGCTTTGGCCAAAGTCGAAGTTTGGGGAAAGCCAAGTAAATCTTGTGACACTGCTGTCCAGCGTAACATTTTTAAACTTTGGACCACCAGAATTCCAAAGAAGGAAAGTGTTTCATGTGGTAACTCAGAGAGTCAGTTGCAGACTGTTTCTGGTGCAGAGTTTGAAATTCCTGAGAATTTTCTTGATTCAGTAACATGCACAATAATGACTCTTCCTTTCATATTGCCTTGTGGGAAATTTGTAGATCAGAGTACACTTGATAGACATGAACAGCATGAAGCAATGTGGGGACGAGCACCTAGTGATCCATTCACAGGGAGGATGTTTAGTGAAAATAACCGGCCCATTCCAGCCACTGCTCTCAAAGCCTGCATTGATAAGTTTCTTATAGATCATTCTGAGAGACCAGAACTGGCATATGTACCAAGAACTGTGGGCAGGAAACAGAAAAGTAACATCCATGAAGTGAGTTGCAGTACTGTGCCTTTAACAGACATTAAACCCACTACCTCTGTTGGATGTCCAACAGAAAATAAAAAAGTGACTTGTGTGGCTGTTTCAAGTGATGTGAGTCATTTGAGGCATAAAAGACAAAGGCACGGGAGTGAGGATATAGCTAAGACTGAGGTACATGATGTAGAGTCACATGAAGAGAAGATTAACTGGAGTCTGAATTGTGCTCTCGAGTCTACTCTAGCTGGTCTCCCTACATATACGAGATTCAGCAATCACACAGCTGTAGAACAGTGTGCTGCATGCAGTGGGGACAACATGCTATTTAAACTCCCTTGCAAACATTTCTTGTGCAGGAAATGTCTTGTGTCAAAGAAGGAATCCAAAGACTTCAGTTGCACTTTGTGTAAAGCTTCTTTCCAGTCTGGTGATCTCTTACGATACCATGTGTAGTTCCTGGAAGGTGGAATATTAGGTTTTTTGATTAAGTAGTGGAATACCTTATTTGTCATTGGAAACCACAATGAATCTTAACATCATACTATCCTTGGTACAGGTTAAATTTTGTAAAATGTATAACAATAATGCATACATTCTTTGCAGGGCTGTTTTTCCTGAATGGACAGGGACATTTCATTAAATAGTTTGGAACAACTTTATGATACAATTGCCAAGTATATATTTGCTGTCAGTAGACAAAATATAAACCATTTTATCTAACAAACTGTTGCAAATATGTTACATCTACTCAAAAGAACAGTACTGTAAAGATATACCAAGTCAGAAGGAACAAATCCTGTTTTAACTAAGGGCTAAATGATCAGCACATTTTTGTTCTATAAGGAAATTGTTAGATGTAATCAAGCTTCAGCTATGTTAAATAAAGGTAAATTCTTGAAAACAACTCTATTGCACTTTCTTGTACTGTGTGCTCATTCTATCTGTGCCTCCTGTGACCATTGCAACAATCAAAGTATTTCCTGACAGTAGCACAATATAAAAACCCACTGAGCTATCTGGAATGGACTTCTCACATTTCCACTGGCCGCTGTTGAGTACCCACTTCATGTACATTAACACCTTTGCTGTTACCATAACTAAATGAATGAGACTTCAAAAGCCAGTGTATTTTAACTGGTCTTTGTAAGCAATTACGTAGTAGTTTTACTAAATGGAAAATAAATTAAAAACTTTTCAGCAGTACGGGGAAGGAAAAATGTTAATATATTGTAAATCCTTTCTTTTTTATCATGTTTTTGCATGTGCCTATGAGGATACATCTTCCTTGAACATAATATACAGAAAGAATCACAAACATCTGCATAGTTGTACCACCTCCGTTGTTTTCATCCAGTGACATTTCACAGCTATCAGAGTATGAGTATGTCAGTGGTTCATTATTTACCATTTCATGTTTTCATTTCAGCCCATTCTTAATAATAATTCAATTCTATACACAAAGTTTACAAATAAATGTATATTACATAAATCATGTATACATTCACTTACATTTTATTATAAAACAACCACAAAATAGTAATTTGTATATGAATATGAAAACCTTCAACACAATAAGGTAGAAACATGAACAGGGCTTGAAAAATTGATTAGCCATGCTTGTTAAATTAAAAATGTATCTGCTGCCTTAAGACCTATTATTCTTGTTGTACCAGTACTTATTACTGATTTTATCATCTCAAGAAATGGAAAATGGAAAGAATTTTGTTGGGGCATAGAACAAAAATATGACAAAAGCTTTAATCAATAATTTATCTGAAGATTTCTGTCTTCTGGGTTGTTGCTCTGTGTAGTCTGGTCGATGTTTACCAACGTTTCAGAGGTCATACTGCCTCAGTCATCAGGGCGATGAATATGACGATACGGTGTGTGGGGCTAGGTTTATAGGTGCCGGAATGTGAATGGTGCAGCCTGCCCCGAGCCAATGGGAGCAGGCGTGGGAGTGGACCAATAGGACATCGCTTCAACATGGAACCGCATACAGCTCAGGGACACTTCTATCCTCTCCTCAAAAACCGGCTACATGGATCGGATAATCAGGGAAGCCATCGGGATCGAATTACATCCGATAACTTCAACAGGGAAGATGGACTTCACCTGAGCCAGTCCTGGAAGCCTCTTATTCACACTCTTCGAGGACTCCGAGAGTGAGCAAGAGTGCGCCGCCAGAACCAACGAGACCACTAACATGGCCCTTTTCAAGGCCCCGATCACATTCAACGGAACTCCCTTTACTTTCTCTCCCTCTCTCACACTTGCCCACGCGCTCCTATTGGTCCACTCCCACGCCTGCTCCCATTGGCTCGGGGGAGGCTGCACCATTCACATTCCGGCACCTATAAACCTAGCCTCACACACCCTATTGTCATTCATCGCACTGATGACGGAGGCAGTATGCCCTCTGAAACGTTGGGAAACATCGACCAGACTACGCAGTGCAACAACCCCGAAGACAGAAATCTTCATCGTCCGGCAGTATGACCTCTGCAACGTTGGTAAACATCGACCAGACTACGCAGTGCAACAACCCCGAAGACAGAAATCTTCATCGTCCGGCAGTATGACCTCTGCAACGTTGGTAAACATCGACCAGACTACGCAGTGCAACAACCCCGAAGACAGAAATCTTCATCGTCCGGCAGTATGACCTCTGCAACGTTGGTAAACATCGACCAGACTACGCAGTGCAACAACCCCGAAGACAGAAATCTTCATCGTCCGGCAGTATGACCTCTGCAACGTTGGTAAACATCGACCAGACTACGCAGTGCAACAACCCCGAAGACAGAAATCTTCATCGTCCGGCAGTATGACCTCTGCAACGTTGGTAAACATCGACCAGACTACGCAGTGCAACAACCCCGAAGACAGAAATCTTCATCGTCCGGCAGTATGACCTCTGCAACGTTGGTAAACATCGACCAGACTACGCAGTGCAACAACCCCGAAGACAGAAATCTTCATCGTCCGGCAGTATGACCTCTGCAACGTTGGTAAACATCGACCAGACTACGCAGTGCAACAACCCCGAAGACAGAAATCTTCATCGTCCGGCAGTATGACCTCTGCAACGTTGGTAAACATCGACCAGACTACGCAGTGCAACAACCCCGAAGACAGAAATCTTCATCGTCCGGCAGTATGACCTCTGCAACGTTGGTAAACATCGACCAGACTACGCAGTGCAACAACCCCGAAGACAGAAATCTTCATCGTCCGGCAGTATGACCTCTGCAACGTTGGTAAACATCGACCAGACTACGCAGTGCAACAACCCCGAAGACAGAAATCTTCATACTCACTGCTGTGAAAACGTCATTTATTACAATAATTTATCTGTATGTATACACTTAAACTTAGAGAAGATTGATATGGAAAAGGTACTGCCAACATATTTACATAATTTATTAAAAATTAAAACAACTGGAAATAAAAATGAGTTGGCTCACATAAGTGAAGGACCATATTTTTAAAGCCCTGTATCATATTGTGCACCAGCAATAATTTAACAACACTGATAAGGGTAACACTGAGTGACTGACAGAGTTACACAAAGGAAGCAGTTCATTCTTGTAAGCACCAATGCTGTTCTCTGACCTCATGCAGCATTGATTTCTTCAATGTTCAGATGTGCTATAAACCTCAGACGCATTTGGAGGGCTGGCCGAAGTCTGCGTATTATGCATTCCACCTCATTCTTCATCAAGTCTCCCACAAACATGTACTTTATGTGATAACTGAGTGGAAGTTAAGGAACAAGCAAAATGGTACCACAGTCCTCAGGAGTACATATGTGGTTAGTCTGAAATTTTTTCAGATGCCTAAGTCTTAGGTGAAGGAAGAAAGGTTAGAAACATGAGATGAAAAGTCTGAACAGCAAACTATGATGTAGTAAGACATACTGAATCAGAAAAAATACTTTTGTCACTTCCACAGTTATAACACAAACAGAAATGAATAAATTCAGACGAGTCAAAAATATCAAACTGCTAAAAAATATTAAATAAATCCTTAGCAATTAGATCAAAATAAAAGTTGTTTGTTCCCGAAGCAAGAATATAAAATACAAATTATGTTATTAATTTAAGGAGCCACCAAACACATTTGTATCTTAAGAACAAGGACCCCACTTCAACAAACCTTCAGAATGCAGATTTGTTCCTGTTGGTAAGAGTGATGATACATGGCATTGCCTCATATTCTGAATGTCTAAGCATTTAATTAAAAATTATGGTGTTTAAATTTCTGCAGCACCCTTGGAAGGTGTCAACAGCACCTCAGAGTGCCATGGCACCCCTGTTGGGAGCAACTGCCTAAAGACAGATTAAGCTCAAAATTTATAAGCCTAAAAGGATACAGCAGGTCACAGATGGGGTCCATGTACTGCATGTGTGTCACATTCTTATCCACTTGCTCCAAGAGTTCATACAGCTCCACTGTCAGATCTGTCACACACCGTGGCCGATCTGTATTAAAGCGCTGCAGGAATGGGCCCACCAGGTGGCAGAGGAACAGAAACTGCTCTTCAGTCTTCACCACAGGATGAACCTTCTCCCTCACAAATCTGACAATACAGTTCAGGAAGCAGTATAAGTAAACACATATTTGGTTTCATCGTGGCACATTTAGAGTTCCAAAGGATTAAGATACAAAAAAAGGATCACTTGCTGGCACTTTACATTTCATTCATAACACAGTCGTGTGACAGTTTAACCTAAATAAAAAATCAATTTATTTAACATAATCAAGCACTGGACTTCATACAGAATATCTTAATAAAATCAGATGGACAGAAAAACAGATGGATGTACAAATGTGGCTCAATACAAAGGATTTTAGGAAGTGCTTTTTAAAACATTAATTTTAATAAAAAAAATTTGTAGAACAATGGCTGCAAGTTTTGAGTCTGCTCAAATTCATATATATTCCAGTCCTTTTCCTTCTAGAAATTAAATATTATTCCAAAAATGAATACATCACAGCCAAGGAATCATCAATCAGAATACAGGACACAAAACTGACTAAATTCAAATAAATTTCAATAAGTTGTTAACAGTGCTTAGCACTCTATTACTAATGGTACTTACTGAGGAACAGTAGTGATTTGACCAACACCTGCATGGTGCCACATGGAATGTGCTAGGGCTAGCATATATGAGAACTTGTTCTCAAGAAGAGAATCGTGTGTGGCAGCAAAATTGAATAACTGAAATGGAGTGTTACGATACTTCCACTGGGTCAGCTGTGGACACGTTATTACCTCCACCAGGCGATCATGTAGCACTGACCAATATGAATCGGGTAAGGCTGCCATTATAAGACCTACTGAATTGATCCACATATGAATTTGGTTCGAAGGTATCACAGTATATCTGCAACAATCAATATTCAGGCTCTTACCACAAACTGGTGCAACATATACTGTACATAGTGCAAAGTAGTACTTTCTATAAAACAAAGGATTTCATTCAACAACATACCATTCAAACAGGACTGTCGCGATTCTTCGAATAATCAGTGAAGTTGCACATCTTTAAGCTACTACTTTTTTTTTGTAAAATATAGTCCAAAATATTATAAATATAACTTAATATTACTGTGCTCATGATATATAAGTATATACAGCTCTAATTATTACTTTTTATGATTATGAATGTCAAAACTTAAAATCTGCCTTTACATTAACAAGTTTTCCCATATATTTCTGTATCCGAGAACTAATTGGGAAACATCTTGAATTAATTTTTTAAAACTTTAGTTTTGAAATAATATGTTCATTATTCACAAGTGCCATTTTTATTGGTGAATTATATTATACATATATTGTATATATATATATATGTTTTGATGCTATAATGAAATATGGAATAATTTTGGGGGGAAATTCATCAAACATCAAAAAGATATTCACTTTACAAAAGAAAATTGCCAGATTAATGGCTGTAGTCAAACCTAAAATTTCATGTAGAAGTCTATTTAAGAGATTAGAGATCTTAGCTCTTCCTTGTGAATACATAATCACATTAATGAACTTTATTGTAAATAACCAAGAACTTTTTCAAACTAATTCTGCTGTACACATTGTCATCACAAGGAATAAAAATCAGCTTCATAGACAAGTTTCCAACCTCTCGTGTTTTCAGAAGAGTGCATATCAAAATTTTCAACAGTCTACCATCAAGTCTCGCAAGTCCTGTAAATAAAAAGTCACAATTTAATGTAGCATTAAAAAGAAACACCTCCTTTTCAGACTCACCCTTTGGCAACAACATCTAGCAGATTGGTGCCCACAAGGGCTGGAGTGACTGGCACAGCCATCAGCTCTACACACGTGACATACAATGCATGGGCTGCTGGGTTGGGAAACTCATTAAACCTCCAGTCTGTGGCTGGGAAGTGTGGCTTTCCTGACACAGCTACAGAGAATGCGTCAAGGAACCTAAATTAACGCTGAAATCTCCTCAAAGGCATGTAACTGCCCAAGGACAATTCTTTGAGGGTAATGTAGTATAGTGTAATCTTAAATTTACATCATCAGTTAATGACACAATAAATTAATTAATGAAACTTTCTAAATTAACTTTGTATCTGTCTATTCTTGTCTACTTTTTAACAAACCCCACTCCCTGATGGTATATCTCATTTCCATAATACTTCATCTGATTTAAACGAACACTGCAGGACATTCCACATTAGCAAATCAAACATGATTTTAATTGCATTAATTTCTTTCTAATCATCCAAAATGGCTGAAGTTGGGTGAGCAGTTCTTAATTTCTTAGAGGAAGGAATTTTATCTTCATCACTATAAAGAGACTGGCTCTGGCCTCTCATTCCATTGGTAATATATCTTTGGATTCCATTAACAGAACATTTCTTGACCAGATGAATAACCGTTAGGTGCTTTAAGGACATCCTGCACCCTTGAATTAACAAGTTCTTAGTACACCTGAAATTGGTTTGTATTAATTAATGACTGCAAGAAAGGATACTTTCAACTATTCGCCGAACAAGTCTGACATAATAGTCAAGTTCAGGTACCCAGGTTGTCTCATCCGTTTGCCGCTGCATATAAGTCTGGTAAGGTTCTGAAAGACTCCATCCTGGTGCTCTGATGTCACGTAAAGAACCCAAAACTGCTGCTACCAGACGGCGTTTCAGTGGTGGACGATCCCGTAACTTCCGTTCATAATAGTGGAGTGTATTATAAAGATATGTCACAGGACGATCTGGAATATATTTTAAATACCAAAAGCTGAAGACTTTTTGAATGGAAATCAACATGGTAACCCATGATTTATAATAAGGCTTGATCTATTACATTACCATGGAACTTATATAAACATCCAAGATGTTCAAGTAACGTCTCCAAGGACTTGGTGACCGGAGGAAGTTCAAGGTATCGATGAATTACAATATCAAATACCTGAAAATTCAAGAAAATTAAATATATTTACTGTTCTGTATGGTATGGATCTATCAACCTTCCAGAAGATTCAGAACTTACAGGTAAGAATCTGAGGCATACATTTCCAAAGTATACTGGCAAGGAATGGTATGGTGATGAAGGACCTCCAGTCTGTTCCAGGATTCCCTCTGGAGCAAACTTCTCTGGATACTTGCGATGAAAAGCAAGATGCTTTTCATGCCTGCAAGTGAGTGAAATTAAAGTATAACAACTGTTATTACGAATCTCAGTCTGAGCCATTGGAGCGGAAGAAAATATAATGGAATTAATGAAATTGATGGACAGTTAGCAAACATAGTACACCAAATAAAATAAATCTAAAGACAATAAGTAATAGCAGTATCATACACTGGAGGAACCTAAAGTGCAAGGAACTGAAAAGGTCAATATTACATGTATGGCTCACTATTGGGTTTATCCAACTGTAAGACAAGATTCTTTATACTGTTATTGTAATTAAAAAACAGGGAGACATGTGTTTAGACATGAAGAAAAATATATTAAATATCTAATATGAGTGAGTAATTTCTGAGGGAGCCTACTATCAGAAGTTAAATTTTCATTACAGTTACCAACATAACCACAGCTTATACAGTTCTATATTTTTTTCAATTCTCAGTGATTCCAATTCTGAAATACATTTCACACTGTCACAACATCCACAACAGGTGATTTTGTATTTCTACCACCTATCCTTCTAAACAATAAAACAGAACGGTGCTGTAGGAAGAACATGGAAATATTATTCTTGATATCACAGACTAGATACTTGGAAACCATATGGAAGCACATATTCTGTATTTTCATAAACTGCATGTGAAACTAATATGGAATAAGCAGCTACCAGTTATGCCGAACAGACTAATAATTGCTCGACTGAGAAACAATAGAAACCTGCCGTGAGTAATCCATGTAATAAAACAACAAAAACTAATAACAGAAAATGAAGCTGCAAGACTGAATTGCATTAATTGCAATATGTAAATAAGAAGGATATTAACCCAAACTGTTTCATACCAATTGGACTGTTTCCAGTGTTCTGGAGAATTTTCTTTAACAAACTCTTGCACACGGTTGCGCAACTCGGCTGCCTTGAGTAGTAACAACTGGATAATGAAGAAACACACTTGAGCTTCACTGCCTTCTTGGGTTCGCAAGGCCTAGAGTAACAAATATATCACTCACAATTTCATATGAAGATGTTATTTGAACAAACAGTTAAAACGTGCTAATAAATATATTTCAAAGCACCAAGTAATTAACTTCTCAGTAAGAAAACATTTCAGAGATGGTAGGTCCAAAAAATTCAAAATTTTGTAGAAAAAGTCTTAGAAACAAAAGTTATTATTTATAGTGAATGATTTGGTTATTATACTGGCTATTTATGGTACTCACCAAACAGAGAACCAATCTGTCAATTGTTACTATGTTGTATTTCCATATCATGTCATTGATGGCATCCACACACTTGTTCACATGTTGTCCTCCTCCAGAATTAGCAAATTCAAACACCAAGTAATCACAGAACTTGCGCAGATGTGCTGACAGGGCTCTAGCACCAATCCGTTCTAGTATCCTGCAAATAAGGTTTAAATGATCCTCTTCCAAACATTAACAACTACTGCATCATAAACAGTATACATGTGAACATCATGTGATGCAGGCTGACTAATTTTGCATGGTATTACAATATTCTCTGTGGCCTAAACACTAGCTATTCCTTTCAGTATTTGATTAGAGCAGTGTTTTCAAAATTGTTTCTATCATCAAACCTTTTGAAAACATACATAAACAATAAGAACCGAGCAAAAGACCACAAAAACCAGGGGTATAATAAGAATGGCTGCACACAGCATTGAACTTCAAAGAAAATTAATAATGCTGAATTCTGCACCAATAATATAATAATGGTAAATTGAAAATGGCATGTCACTTTGATATACTCTAATGTCTTACAAGACTAAAATTATCAGACAAGCAGAAGATATTCTATTAAATAATATTCTGTGTACAATATGCTTTATATTACAAATTCCTTAACTTCAGGGCCTTTAACACAGCCTGTGCAAAGGGAAGAAGTGACAGATCATGTGTTTCTGGTACCTTTCCCAGTACTTATAGATGACAAATTATTCTGCGAAACCAGAAACATATTTTGGATTTATAATTTATATACAAAGTTGTTTTTTTATGTGATGATAATAATAAGATCCACGAATCCCCTACATGATCTGTAAATCAACATGCTGAAGTATTAACACATTCATATCAGTAATTAGATTATGTGAGAAAGAATGATACATCTGTGACTAGTTAAATGATGGCAGAAAAAATCTACACCAACTCCACAAAGTAGAGTGCTTCTTACAGAACAGTCAAGACGTAATTAAATCTTTTCTCATCATCAAGGACTGACATCATGAGCGACACAAGTCAGTGAATATGATACATTCATGTAAACGTTTTAGAGTCCTATTGGACTTTTATTTTGAAGTGACACAGCTGACTGTCCAAGAAAATAATTAAGATTTTAAATGAGTCACGATATCAAGCTTACAGGACTGAACAGCAAAGTATGAAGCAAAAGTAGCTTTAGGAACTCTTACACATCACGGAATTAGTTGAAAATGTGAATTAAAACATACTGTTCTGTGTTTTGTAGGGTATTTCTATATTCTACTCACTTGTAGGCAATGGGACTAATTCTGTCAGTCTCCAGAATCATCTTCCATAGCAGACACAAGAACAATGGTGGTGTTCCTTGTACAGAAAAATGAGCAATGATGTCATTCTCATTGTTCATGGATGCCCAGTTCCGGTATTCCTCTTCAACTGCTTTCTAAAGAAGAAAAGAGAAATCTATTGTCTCCATGAATATATGGTCTTTGCAAAAAACATAAATTAATGGATGACATACTTTCAACTGCTGCTTATTCTCTATAGCTACGTTGTTCTGCTGGAAGAACTCATTCAGCACTGGAGGAAAACACTGGAGAGTGTGGTTGGCCCAGCTATGAGGTGTGTTCTGCATTATTGTGTTCAGCAATTCTTTACACCATGTTCCTGACAATGTCTCAGAACCTGAACACAATAAGTAATATGATTAACAAATACACAATGACTAAATCTTAAATCAGTGTTTTGCTACACTACATGCTGAAGTTTTATAGGAAACAGAAAGGCAAATTCTGATTTTGAAATTTGCAAACTTTAAACTTTTTTTATCCTCAGAAGAAGCTACTGAACATAAAGGCCCTAGATGTGAAAGTAACAGCATTTTCACAACATATAAGTAACACATATTGTGCTATTATGGGGGAGGGGGAAGGAGAGGTTTGTTTTGATATCATTTATCTACTATCCTTATAATTTTAAGTCACAGGACTTCACATTTTGCTCCTTACCTGTTCCAGTAACGTGCATGGAACGAGCCAATGTGAGAACAAGAGCTCGGTTCAGTTCTTCTGACTCTGCAGACACCAAAGTTTTTGGCTCACTGAGGAACCGTGACAATTGTGGCTGAACTTCAGCACTCCCCAACCCTGTTATAAGACGCAAAGCTGTGCTCTCAACACTGGAAAAGAAACAGGTTAAGAACAGTATACTCATGCTGCACTTATTTCAGTAATATTCACAAACACCCTTGCAAGCATGCAACATCATTTATATCACATATGCGGATGGAGAAGCCCGCTTCCAGACAAGGAACACAGCTATGAATATGTTGAATAACCAGTGAGAAACAGACAATAAGGAGTAATTAACCTGTGGGATGCATTAAAACTTTCAGAAATGTGTTGATGAAACAATATAATACTTTCTACAACATAACAGCTATATATTCTTAACCTTGGCATTAGATGCACTAAGTGTGCGGTCAGCCACATGCTCAAGCTACATGATCATGTATGTTTTCTTACCAGAGATGTAACTGCGTCTGATTTGTTTGAGGGACAGCTGCAAGACTGTGAAGATGTGATAAAAGCTGAACTCGATAGTGAGGCTGAATGTGATGCATCCGATAGCTAAACATTTCAAGCAAGGTGTACAATATACCCCATGCATGAGACTTGAACACTGTAGGCAACAGCTGGCCTAAAAACAAAAATTACAATTCATTAGAAAATTACTAAGGAAGTAAAAGTAGGATGGAGAGAATTTATATAATGAAGAGTTTTATAATTTGTACTCTTTATCAGCTACTGTTAAATTGACCAAGTCTACAAGAATAGCATGAGTAGGATACATGTATTTAAGAATTTACAGAAGTGAAAACATTCAGCTGCTTCATTATGCATGGTCATTTTAATTCATGCGAAAACAATTAAAAATCCACAGTAAATTATATTTAAGAGTTACAAAATAAGTAAGAAATGCACTCAATGGAGTACAGCCCATCTTGAGAAGCTGATCAAAAAAGAATTCCTCACCTTTTATGAAATCTGAAAATTCATTACAGTGTTTACAAGACCCTATCCTGAACCAGTTACTGTTTATGTAATAATAACCTAAATAATTTACCACAAGTAATAAAATGTTTTTATTAGTGTTTTGTTGCTGCAACTTACTGATAAATCCTTTAATGCCCAAGGATTCTATTTCTGTGTATACAAGCAACCTGCTGTATGTCTCAACAAGTGCTGGTGCCAGGGCCATGTTGGACTTTGACTGTGCTAACTTGATCACATGTGTTACAATACTGTGGATCAGACTCATCTTGGAGTGCACTGTCAAAGAATCCAAAATGGACATTGACAGGGGTGTTGTAGGACCACTGGCCAGTGCTGCATTATTAGCTAATGGTGGCAGTGGAGGCTGTTGAGGACCCTTCTGTGTTCCCAGTATTGTATCCACAAGTGCAGCCATTGGGCGAGTGAAGTATTCCTGATTAGTGGAATATGCATTGCAGAGTAAGGCTATCCGATAATCAGAGCCCATACATAAACCTGTATTGTTTGGCATAACAAGGTGCTGAAGAAACCTACAACATAAATATTTCAACATTCTTTAATCATTATAGAGCAAAAGACATTTTAATCCTCACTTTAAACCCTATATTAAATATTATTTAGTGGCCCTCAAGTGTAGGAGTGTGGCCTGCACCTAACAACATTGCTATAATAAAGTTATAGATCTGTACATAAGGTATTTGGACAAAAGTAATAGGACATGATTAAGGATTGAAGAATACTATATATTGGGGAGCTTCATAACATCATAAATAAACTGAAAATATAATTCCAGAATTTACCCAGTCCATTTAACAAGGTTCATTCCCCCCAGAAAATAGACGTTCTTGTAAAGCAGCAACTAATCAATTTATTTGGTATTCAAAGCATAACTTTCTGCACTTTATAAAATAATGAGGCAATTCAAAATGGCTTGGATTTTAATCACTCAAACTGCAAACTTCACTACCAAAATAAAGTTAAGAGTTACTCCAGGTCATTTAATTAAGGTACATACATGATACAGACACTTACTCATGATGCACTTTCAGTGTATGTGGTATAGGACGATGAATGTTGAGGTGTTCTGTCTGAGCCTTTTTCAGTAAATGGATCCATATGCAGGTCATGGCCATTTGGTGTGTACACAGAGCTTTATTAAAATCTGGCACTGCCAGTGGTTCCTTCTCTGGGTACAACAAGTCATACAACTTTAGCACTGGTAAGAAATTGTTCAACTGTAAACAGATTCATAACAAACATTGTCAAATACTATGTCAGCTATTATGGACTGTCAGTATGGACATGACACATATCTGTTTCTCAGTCTGATTTATATCTTATGCTATGCACAACTGGTTGCTGATAGAATCCTACCATGGAAGGATTAAACAGACTTACTGGATTTCTCTGAATGCTGCCAGAAATGAACTGCAGTAGCACCCACATCAAGTGGTCCCTGCCTCTTCGTAAATCACGACCAGCCAGCTGTAAACGATGGAGACAATAAAGTAGGTGAATTGTCAATATACAACTAATAAATGATCCCCAACACTCCTCTATAATCCAGTTTCTTTTCATTCAAATGCATGTATTAGTTTAGGAATTAAAATTTCCTTTTAAAACTATCTTTTAAAAAAGTTGCTAAGATCAACAGTTGGTATGAACTGGGTAGCTAGTCCAAAATGTTTGTAAATGGAAATGTATGGAATTTTAAACATACTGAAACAGATATAAATTCAGGACAGGATAAATAAGAAAATCACATAAAATTATCATAGATATTGGCCACTTGAAGACCAAGACAGATGTGAGAATTATACTAAAACAAATCTTCAGGGAGAAGATGATTATATGAAGTGGTTTGAGCTGGCACAAAGAAGGTTGTTATGGCACTGAAAATTCAGGTTCTAATACAAAGTTACTTCAGAGGTAAAACATAATTTTTTACATTTTATTACTTGGTTCATAAGATACCAAAATCTAATACAACTTAAACAAATGCAGTAATACTGCCTTAAAATTTCTGTGCTTGTTATTGAGATACTGCACAGTAACTTTACCTTGTCATGGAGAGCCATTACAATGTTTGGGAAGGTTGCAAATTGGAAGAGCACGAAATAGATGAGCTGGCTGGACAGATGTAACCAGAGCCAGTGGCTGTTTGAAATATCATCCGTATCTGCCTCAGTCTCTGAACGTTCCATGGCCAGAATTACCAACTCCACTAGCTGTTCCTCCAGTGCAACACACCGTTGCTTATGCTACATTCACAGCCAATATACACTTTAATACAATCACCATTTAGTCACTGATTTGTTGTCTAGCACACACATTTCAATGTTTAAACCATCATCAATGTTTTCATTACATACTATTTTGCAAGTCAGCTTCTACAATCAGGGTAGAGATAATTCCAATTGCTTATTTTTATAATTTCACATCTTCTTTTACATTTACTCTGTAGACACCATTTATTTCTCTAATCTGGGATGTTGTAATTACATGTTCTATTCTGCCAAAGACCAACCCCTCTATCAACGTACTTCCAACCCTGAATATTGATAATAATGAAGAAATGGAGTGTAAAGTTAGCAACATATGCATGAAATAACACAAATAACACGTTAGGAAATTTTATAGCTACATTTCAATAATACGTTTTTGAAGCAACTAAGACCAAATGATATCTATAACAATTCACAATAGTAACCAAGTACAACCATTACTCAGACAATTTCATAGAAAAGAAAGGATGTGCTCACAATCAACACAAGACTTACACTGCTGCCTTGAAAACAAGTGACAGTGACTGAAATTTATATTGTACTTAGGGTGCTTAAGTGTTAATATGGACATTGGTTTTTGCTCTCAGTGCCTGGAAAGGAATATCACTTCAGCCTAAATTATTGAGGTAATGCAAATTACATTTCACATTCTGTAGATATTACAGGACATGCTACAAAATTTGAATATTTCATGAAAACTGTATTAGTTACCGTCATTTTAGTTCAGGTACGCATCCTTATAAATTTAAAACTCCATCCCCTATGCCTCAGACTAATTAAATTGATTTAAATCCTACAGTATTGAGGTATTATCTTTGTGGGAAAGTTTATTTCAACATAAACAAATATGTTTATTACCACTAACCTGTTTCTGTAACCCCAACATAGAACACACCATGTCCCTTGAATACGGTTGCTCCAGAACATATCTCAGAAGTCCAGTCTGCGGTTCCAACAGCTCACGATCATATGGTAAATTTCCTTTTAGGGAGAACTTGAGAGTTGAGGGATCTAACTTCCATGGATTGATAAGATGATCAGCATAGCCTGAGTGTTCCACCACTGGTAACATGCGAGAGTGCCCAATGATTGACACCATTTGAGCTGTTGCCCGAAAACTTTCCACAAAACCGGACAACAGTTGAGCCAATTTCTACATAATGATACAAAATACATGTAAAAACCAAAAACATTATACAGCTCTCACCTTATTAAGCTTAATTTTAAGATAATGAAAAACAAATTTTTATACAGCATATCTCAGACCTTAAAGTGTCCAACAACGTTAAGACTCTTACCACAAAATTGTAATATACATACAAGATAATTTCATACTAAAAGACACATTTTTCACTAATTTCAAGACTGACAAATGTAACATGCATTGTATTTGCAAAGCAATAACCGCACAAAAGTGAAACTATTTGTGGATGGTTGGTGATAAGAATGACTTTGGATACAATAATTAATATGACCAACTACTATATGAAACATACCCAGTGTGGCCAGTTCTTATTGTCAGGATATGCTTTCTGAATTTCAGTAACTATAAAATAACCAGGTAACAGACAAGCATTCCTGTCAAAAATATATTCTATAACATTCTCCAACGCTTTCAGCTGTGGAAGTACCGAAGCATTTAACCTTGCTGGAATGGTTTGAGCTTTTTCTCGACAACCCTGTGGAGAACAAACAATCAGATTAACAGTTAATAGTGTGAGCTACTGACAGCATTTATAAATAAACCACAAATGAATTAAACAGATAATACAACCAAATACAAATTAATGCTTTGTTTGAGCTGTTATTTATTGCTAACTGTAGCCATTCAGTATTTCTATGTGACCTTACACTGATGAATAAATGCTCTTTTCCTTCCCTCAAGTGATTTGAATGAAATTATTTGTCTGTATATTTATAAAATGTTTGTTCCATTATCAACAGAGACTGTGAAAAGTCTCATTTATAACATCAGTAAAAGCTATACTTTCAAATTTTTTCCCAATTCCATATCTTAATTGAATTTCTCACAGAAAACCAAAGGCTATGAGGTTATTCTACTTACAATAAACAGATATGCTAATAAGTGGCTTTGTTTTCCAGAGTTTATTAGTGTTTTGGTACAAATATGATTTTTAACAAATCAATAAAAATTTAACTGGCCAATGTTTCCAGAATAGTTACTACACCAGTGTCTCTAGTCATCTAGTAGGAATAATGGTGAGACCTTGCATATAACATGATAATCTGACAGATAGGCCTAATTTATGTATCTATACTTGGTTTTACCCTGCAGTTTTTTAGGAGAAAATTTTTGAAAGTAGGAGAAAAACCAATCAAATGGTAATCTCACTCACCATAAGCTATAACAAATATTTCATCTTCTTCAAACATTACCTTCATTATTTCACGAACTCCTTTGTAATCAACACCACCAATAATTCTTCTGATGAGACGGAAACATTCAACCCAGAAATCTTCTTGCTGATATTGCAGTTTTTCACATGACAATATGCATTCACACACCATTCTGTAATACAAGTAATGTATAAAATATAAAAGTGCAACTGTACAGACTGTAGGTCAAATTCAAGGTCAGGAGCATACATGGTAAATCTAAGTCACTCAGTAACTAACTGTTCCTTCATCAACTTTTCTTTGAGCAATGTGGACGTCAATCATTTCCTTAACAAAGTGTACAACAAGTGTGGTGACCAGATTGTAACAGTGTACATATTATATCTAATGTGGAGTATATGCTACTATCCAGTTCAATAAAGCAAGAAGTAAATAAAGGGGCTGAATAAGGTAAAAAAATATAAAAAATAAAAACCTTCATACTTTGACAAGGGCCACAACTATAAAATTTTTGGTAAATTCAAAATGGGGGAAACTAAATAAAATTAATTTATGTTAGGATTTGCTTTTGAGAAAGTTAAAAATTCACCATTACTATAACCACTATTCCCACTACAAGGTATAAGAGGGACACTGATGAATCCCCAGTAGCTTTTCCTATTCATATACAATCCTCACATTTTTGTAATGTGCCTAGTTTAATGAATGAGATTTAAGGTTTTCACAGCAGTGAAAATGTGAATTGGTGTCTTCTGGGTTAAGATGCTGTGTAATCTGAGTAACATTTCAAAGGAACAGTCACCTGTACCTTCAGGGTAGAAGACAGTGACTCTTATATCACTGCTGTATGACATGCCAGCACTCATAGCCTGTCTAAGTGTCTGAATGGCAGAAATTCTGCTGCCAGACTTGTCACAACAAACAACTTGTGCTACGACTGATTATTGGATTAAACAGTTCAAAATTAAGAATGATATTTTTATGACAAGCAGCAAAAACATTTTCAGGAACACTGATAGACATACCTTGCTGGCAAAATGTTGTTGGCTACCAAGTTTTCCAGCAGAGACAAAAGTAACTGCAAGCGACTGTGATTAGTCATTTCTGCAGCCTTCAACAGGTAAGCCTTGACGCCAGTCTCCTGTTGGTCTGAGTTCAGACCACTCAGCACAGACTGTAGTTCTTGCTGGAAGTTCTGCACCTTCTCAGTTTCCTGTTCAGGGCGATGCACTAAGAAGCAGCTGAATGCTTCTTCAATAGGCTCCACTTTCTAAACGATTCATAAAGACAACAGTCTGTATCACCTTTCGGAAAAGGACAACATATAACATTCCAAGAACAAGCATTCTAAAATGGATTGTGATGTCCTTAATTTCTAAAGCTTCAACAATCTTACATAACGAGTACTGACTCCGATAAAGCAATTCATGTACATTCATACAATTGTTAAACAGTTTTATAAATTCTACTTACCAATATTTCGCTTACAATATTATTAATCTGAATTTCAGTTCCCATTTTCGCTTCTTGATATCAACGAAACAGAATGTTTTAAGGTTATGTCACTGTGCGTCATGGAAACAATAAAAATTTATTAGAAAATCTTGTTTCATACACATTTTCTCGAGGCAATGATCTTAGTAAAAATTAGTGCGTTACCAATAAGTAACATTCTTTTTCCTATTACTTCAAACTAAAAGTCAACGCTATGTTGGAATTATCTTTGACAGCCACGGTAGTGTGCGAACTACGATACGAAATATGTGGTCAGTAACAGATTACCAACATAAGTCATGGCGGGGTGCTGGCAGAAGAGTTTTTCAGTCGGTGAGAGGATTAGCTGCCATTCAACTTTTACAAATTCACCTTCTACTCTAACCAGCCACACTGGCTAAATTGCTGCAGAGGACCTTATTACCTTACTGAAATATGCAATTGTAAACTAAATTTTTAACTTCGGATAAGTTGAAAGAAGCACACCATTGTATAAATTTCTTTCAGTACTCCTGTGCCAAATTTTTAAAATACTAAAAGTAAATAATTTTCTTTCATTAGATCCCATAAAAACTAATAAAGCACTGTTAAGGCCAAGTTATTGGACTATGATGGCCAATCTAACAATTTTCATAACACTAATTCAAGTAAGACATAACTTGACTACCAAAATTTGGAAATACCCAATTCCACTGAAGTAAGATCCTGTGACTTATTTCCAGAGGCACTCACCATGAATTTGAACATACAGGCACGTGACATAAAAAGCAACCCAGAATCACTCGTGGAAACATCTTAAATTGAAATTATCACCATTGTTGAAATCTGGACAAACAAGTAGGCATATGTTGTTTGTACATCTTAAAATGTCCACAGATCTGCAATAGCTGGAAATAGGACCAGTGTTGCATTACAATTTTTTTTACATAAATTACCTCCTACCATCATTCCTTGATATATGGCAGACCAGTTATAAAACATTGTATAGCATTGAACCAAGTGGTTCAAAAGAAAAAGCGGTACCTTGCAGACAGCTTGTCATTCATGCATTCCTTTGTGGGATATCATAGAAAACCAGAAGGAAATGTTTTGGTGGATAACAAAGATGAAGAAATATCACTATCCGCCTCTCTTGAAGATGAGATGACTGAGGAGTCGATCGATGAAACAACGGAAGGTACTTCCAGCTCTACTATACCTACGCCACAAACAAATGATCCCCATGGAAAAGCAGACACTAGGAGTGATTCTAAATATCCAGAAACTTCTAAAAAGAGGAAGATGATGTCTGCTTCTGACATGGTTGCAGGCCGCATGATAAAATTTTTGAAAAAAAGAAGTCAGCAGCCAACACCATCAGCTGATCCAAATTTGAAATTTTTTGAAAGTCTGATGCCATATATTGAAAAATTGTCATCCAAGAGGATAAGGATATTTAAATTTAAAGTTTTGGGTTTTCTTAATGACCTATTAGAGGACCAGGAGCATGAAGACTTGGCAAATTTCTCTGCTCCATCCCCATATGCCTCTACACCGTCCCCATATGCCTCTACACAATACGGATATACCACTACACCAACTCCGCCAGTGGCGCAAAGTTTCCAAACTGAAACTGAAAGAGATGGTTACGCAGACATCAATACTGTTAATGTACTTACCTTAGGGTAACAACCAATCGTTGTTCTGCTGTGATGCTTCTTCTGTAATTGGTGTCTTTTCTTCTTATTTTGTCACTGATCAGATTAACATTAAAATCAAACTCTCTAGGGATAATCTTGTAAAATTCTGAAATTTCTTTTCATCACATCGCAATTCCTGGAGAAAATTCTGCAGTGTTTTTTCCTTTTCTCTCTTCTCATTAATTGGATGCAACCAAAGACGCTTTCTTTTTTCACCCATGTATAATTTCTCCCAACAATACCACAATAGCACAGCAACATCCTCATCATCTTCAGCCATGACGACAACTGAGGTACAATGAGCAGAAATGCTTTTGCTTTGATTAGAAGCAAGATGTAGCAAATTGCTTTCAGTGGAAGCAAGAACGCTTCTGCATAGAGCACAAGCACTTTTGCCAAAAGCAGCTTTGCTACATTGGTCTGCGCCCGGCCTAAGAGGGAAAAACTGGTACAGCAGTTTGGTAACCAATTATTACTGGTGAAATATGTTACTGTAAGTGTTTTTATATAAAATAATTTTTAAGTTAGAAACTTTTATTTGATTAGCACATGCTTATATGTCTGACTTTATTGTGAGCTTTGTCTTTCAGTAACCACGCTTTCTTTTTTCACCCATGTATAATTTCTCCCAACAATACCACAATAGCACAGCAACATCCTCATCATCTTCAGCCATGACGACAACTGAGGTACAATGAGCAGAAATGCTTTTGCTTTGATTAGAAGCAAGATGTAGCAAATTGCTTTCAGTGGAAGCAAGAACGCTTCTGCATAGAGCACAAGCACTTTTGCCAAAAGCAGCTTTGCTACATTGGTCTGCGCCCGGCCTAAGAGGGAAAAACTGGTACAGCAGTTTGGTAACCAATTATTACTGGTGAAATATGTTACTGTAAGTGTTTTTATATAAAATAATTTTTAAGTTAGAAACTTTTATTTGATTAGCACATGCTTATATGTCTGACTTTATTGTGAGCTTTGTCTTTCAGTAACCAAGCTTTATAATTATTTTTAAGGAATAGACTAGAAATGTTTCTGAATTTTATTATGAAGACTTGAAATACATAATTAGTCAACATGAAATACTGTATAAACATGGTTAATGCCATGCTTGTGTTGTAGAAAACATTCTTTGTGAATAATAGAAAGCAAGTGGCTAATGACAAAATGCTGAGTTGTATACACTGATCACATTTGAGGTAGAATGTTATTCATTATATAGAAGTATGTAATCATCATATTTTGATTCAAATGTCTCTACTTAAAAGTCCTGAGAACTGATATATAATTCATATATAGTTATTAAATAAGGAATCTGCATTTAATATTCTTCAGTGTTAATATTTTCCCCATTTAATGATCTGGTGTCTGAATCCAGTTATATCGAAATTAAAATTATTTCATTTGGACTTTAAAGTTTTAGCTGTTCAAATCAATGTTTTCCAGAAAAGAAATACTTGGAGATTCAAATGTCTTTGTACATTACATAATACAGGATAAAATATACACAAAAATATACATCATGAATGATGGCAAATTTTATATTCTATTTTAATTATAACTTGACTATGCATTACATATGGAATGGAAGTGTGATAGTTGCTTAAAAATCACTTAAAGATTGTAATAACAACGTTTTACTTTAATTACATTAGTATGTAACCATCAAGTATAATATTCATAAAATTTGTATTTATATGGTTATGTAAGAAATATTCATGAATAAATCTTAAGCATCTAATAAAGATTGATTAACTATTTCTGATATGCTGGTTTCCATATAACATACCACAAATTATGTTGGTTTCAAATGCATTGGTCAATATTTCCCTTTTAATTAAGGACTCATTTAAAACAACTCCACACAAAGATTTCTTGAAAACAGAAACTGCACTATTTAATCAGTGTTGACAACAAATCCTCTTCTTGGTTGTTTGCTGCTGCAAAGTTCATGCTAATACTGTCCTGTGCAAGTACACAGCATCCTCTTACTTTTATTAATGTCAGAATTTTCCACAGGGCAGACTTTTTGAAATCAACAGCAAGATAATTAGCAAAGTGTAATTTAAATTTAATGGATGTACATGTCAGATAGGACAAAGTGTGGCAATGAGCCAGGCATAAACTACATAATGAGAAGCACCATAACTTTTACTCCTCACCAGATATTAGTAGGATGATTCAGTTAAGGAGGGTGGGATGGACATGACATGTAATACGCACGCAGATGATAAATGCATACAAAAATTTAGTTCACAAACTTGAAGGGACAGGGCCACTTGGAGGATGTATGTGGGAGGATAATACTGAAATTAATTTTAAAGAAACAGAACATCAGGTCATGGAATTATTCTGAATAACTCAGAGGAATATTTTTACCTGCCAAGTAACTTTCAGCTTCTCAAGGACTTTGATCCATAGAATGAGTTAGTTCACTGTGTTGATGGCTTGGTTCCTGTATGCAGTTCTTTTCTGAAGTACCTTGTCCTTCCTTTTCACCTTCCAGTAAGCTTCCTGAAGATATTTTGTCTTCCATATCAGTTTTCTCAGATGTCTCTAACACGTTGTCCAGAAAAGACAATGCATCCACTCCAGTTTTCTCCTCTTTCTGTTTTTTTATTTCTTCATCAATTTGCCTCCATCGTTCTAGGTTGGCCTGGCACTGGTCGAGCAATGGCTTTGTCTCGGGAATCAACTTGCATAGCAGAGTGTAGCATGGAAGGCAAATACCAGTGAGGAAACCAACCTGGTGAAGACAAACTGAATTAATAACTCTGTAAACCTTGATAAAAAAAATAGACAGTCTGTCTCAAATTTTTACCAGTCTATTAAAATGTGATAAATTGTTTTCATATTCCAGATTCCAATCCTAAACCCAGTTATGTAACTGTAAATTGTTGCTGAGCAATGGTTCATTAAGACTTTGTCAACTTGGATAATTCAGAAATACCGATTAAATTCAGAAGTTTTCTTGCAGTTTGGGTGATCAGCTTAACTGTTTGGAGCTGAGGCTCATCTAAATAATATTTACATGAAAAACTCATAACCTATTACTACTACATGAAAAGGAAATCAGAAAGGAATTCTGATCTGCAAAAAATCTGTATACATATCAGTCCTTGCTTTGCACATATTTTAGGTTTGTGTTTTGATTTTCACTGACTGGGATTTAGTACTGGCATCTAAAAACTGCTTTAAAACATCTAATAACAGGAAATATTTTCTTTAAAATTGTTTCTTACTAATACCTAGTGACTAGGACTAAGGTGATAGTTTGCAGCAATGTGTACAATTCACATTCAGGATTTATCCAGATAGAGTCTCATTTTCCATGACCTCCTTCAGTTCTGTCAGGTAAATATAAAAATAATGAATGGTACCTTGAGGTTAACCAAAATACTTCCTTAACACATTCCTCCCAGTTTATAATCATTCTATCACTTCTCATTCAGTGTTACATAACTGGTTGATAAAAACTTAGTTAATGATGAATTTTTGTTGTTTTATACACTGACATTCAGTGGCGTTCAGTGTATGTTGATGCTAATCAAATTGATGTTTGTATTCAGTTGCATAGAAAATGGGTGTTGGGACAGAACATAACAATTAATAAATCTGAAATGGAATTGTTACATTACAATGTAATAGCTTTACACTGGAACACAAAAAGGTTTTTTTTAAAATGTAATTTAATTAATTAAATTTCAAAACAGGATATGAGGTTCTCATGTTGGCTGTCTTCTGGGCTGTAGTGCCTTTTGAGGCAACAAGGACCTCTGAATCATTCATAAACTTCTACCAGAATATGCAGAAGACAACCATCTTCAAACCATAATTTCCATCTTACTTGTAACACTGTAAGCAACAAATTCATTTAAATGTCTGCTATCATCTGAGTTTCATTCTTCTTTGCCAGATATTTAAAAATGGTAACTGGTACCATATGTTCTAATTTAAAACTCTGAAAATTCCAAAGAAGTATGCTATTTATATATATTATATATTAAATATAAATTATTTATTTTACAATGTTATATAATAAACCTATACACTATTTTCCATCAGCACACACATGTATGTAGTAGTTGTGCAGGTTAGGAAAATGTATTCAAGAAGTAAAACAAATGCACATAAACACATTTTAAACATGGGAAACATAAGCTGGAGTATGCATGCACTTGATGTTCTAAGTCGCCAGGCCATGATGTCCATAGAGAATGGAAAGTAAGGCAACATCTTCTGGATATTGCAATGTAAACAGCTACTCAAAATATTTAAGTCTTCCAACAAGTCCATGTGCCAATTGCATGCCATTAACTTTCCAAATGAAGAATTCTTTATGTTCATTTACCTGAGAGGGTATGCAAACAGACTGCCCAATTGTCTGGTGCACAGAAACATGTAAGCAAGTTTTGAAGCAAGCTATGCATATGCCCCTCATTGCAGAATAAAATTCCTATAGTTGCCAACAAGAATACCTTTTATAAATGTTCATTACCTACTAACTAATAAATTTTCACACAGATCTTTGCTTTTGAGGAATGTATGTCATTAAATGGACAGATAAATTGGAAAATGTCAGGTTTTCTGTAATGTGTGGAACCTAATTTTATAATAAAAGGCAAATCAATTTCAAAAGGGAACAATTTATACTTAATGAGTGAATAAAAGCCGTATTGTATAAATAAGACTGAGTATTTGATAATAATTTTATGTAAAAGTAAGTTTCCTACACTGGATGTCTACTGTCTTTTGGCAAATGCCATTTATAAACCAAATTGACTAATGGATAAATGATCAAAGCCCAATTACAAAATTATGGGAATTCAGAAATAGCATTATAATCCATTTAAGAACAAAATCAATTTAATTAGATGAAGCATAATTTATTGAAAGTGTAAATTTGATAACTTGAAAATTTTTAAAGGCTCATTTGTCACCTGAATTGCTCCAAGTTCACATTTTCTGTCACGATCCATGAGAGGAGAGGGTACATGGCCTGCCAACTTTTCTGCATCACCCTGAAAACAGTGGCCAATAGAACGTCAAAATGCTGGCAACATCACAAGCTCAAACCATACAGTTCACAATACCAGTACAGCTGAAGAGGAGCAATAAGTGTTGCTGTCATTGTGGATGATACAAATAAGGCTGCTTTAGAATTTATAAGTCCATTTAAGTGTGAATGTGTGCAACATTTGACTGTGTGGTGGGTTGAATGCTATAACAGTGTCTTATACTGGTAAACTGTCAAATATCTAAAATAAAACTGAACATGCATTACTGCATTTTGATGTTTTATGATCTGACAAATTTAAACATGACACCTGTAATAGTATGAATTTCCTCCAGGTATGCATCTATTTTTAATGTTTCCAGCAAACTATATGTGAAGTTTCCAATACTTCTATAGAATTTTAATGCCATTTTTCTCACAAATTTCACTGTGTGTACCTTGATACGAATTTGAACATACCAATAAATTTATAATACAATTCAGTATCTTGTCCATTTTATCTATGCCACAGATATTACATGTTGAATGATTTCCTACCATTCAAACTTAAAATTAGGATTTATTTAGGTTATTTTCAACTTTCTTTTAGCAAAGTTATTGTTTTTCTGATCTTTAGTGTACTGGAAAGTAAGTGGGATGATAAGATTTTTGACACTAAATAAATAATTTTAAAAATTACTCTTCTCCTAACTTAATCAGGAACCTCATTTCTGTTTGTTTGTATTGTTCCCAGATACATAAATATTGAAACATTTTGAAACAATTATTACATATTAATGCTGAAAATAAAAAGCTTATTTGGAACACACTATCCAAATTCTATAAGTTTTATCATCTGTTTCTAAAATTTGTCTGTAACAATAAGTTGTTGTATCATGTTCTTTTATAAATTTACAAACCATAGAAATACAGAACAGACTTAGATTTAGATTTAGTTTACAGTATCAAGGTACTTATCACATCCCAACGAATGAATTATAGAATAATGACAAGGTACACACAAATACAAAATAAAAAATTTATTCAATAAAAAATCATATTGTCATTAATGGTTAACTGTTAGAGATCATTCCCACCATACTTTGCACATAGTATCATGATTTGTGTTTGTGATTAAAAAATCAGTGCCACAGGAACTGGCAATTTATGGAATAAAAGGCAGGGAAAATCCTACCAAAATGCAACCTTCACTAACAGAGGGATGTAGGATTAATTCTGAAAAGTGTGTAATTCAGGACTAGATTACTGCTCCATTCTGGCTGCACCACATGAGAAGTACAAATATCAGCAGGTGTGGACAGAGAGACAGAGGGTCACTCTCCCACCTGGGATGCTGCCTGTTGATCAGGCTGCTTCCGGTCCATCATTGGGATTGGCGTCCTGCCAGCAGCACGCTCAGCATCACCCTATAAGCCAGCACACTCTTCATATGAAATACACAAATCCTATTTAGCAAGTTCAAATCTGGAACTGAAGAACTGTCCTCCTACTAAATAGCTAATGGCAGAGGTATGAAAGTCACTGTGATTTTAATCTAAACTTAAAAAGTTGGTCAGATGTAGAAAAGATTAATACAAGGATATAAAGTATAAAATGTTATGTAACTTTGCTAATCTGGTTACTCTGAATTCTTACTTCTGTATGAACACTGTTTATAATATGAAATAAAATTATACTTGGGGTGATAATAATTTTTTTAATTATCTTTGTCTTTCATATACCATATTTCTGCTGAATGTGATGGATTACTGAAAAACTCTTAATATAATAGCAATTGTAATTGCAGTAGAGCTGCACTAGAACAATGTCACCTAACAGTCACTGTATGCTTTGAAGGCATGAAAATGGGCTTAGAGTGGTAAAAGTATTGTTCTTACCTGCTCATAGAACTCTTCAAAAATGACTTTCACTGTTTTCACTTGTACATTCCATGGTTTGGCACTTGCAGAAAGGTCACAGGCTGTCATTGCAACTGCCTGAATGAGTAGTCTGAAAGAAAAATGTAAAAATGTGTTACTTGGATATTTATTGATAAACATTGTCTCCCTTGAGGGCACGTTCTCAATAAGGGAAATGATCTAGATAGGTTGTCTGGATAGATGATCTAGCTTGGTTATTATTTCCTTGTACTTCTTTAGCATTTTACATTTATACTAGTGTTTCCCTAGGTGGATTATTTGCTTTTATTTGTATTTCTTCATTTATTTTCTTTGTGTATAATATTGTTTCTATTTTGGGTTTGCCTATATTTGGCTGTTATATTTAATACTGTACATATATATGTTTAGTTAATTTGTTTGCAAAATATTTTTCATTATTATTGTATGTATTATCCATGTTTGCCTGTTATTGGCTTCTTGCTGTTGGCAAACACTTAAACAAATGAATTGAATGATTATAATGTGAATAACCTGGAGTTCTATCAGGGCCTATAATTTTGATGTCATGGTGCTCAGTTAAGCACCAGGGATGACTTTATTTTTACCCCTCCACTCATTATATCACTTCTCTTAGAAAGTCTAAACAAGCAATTTATCATTTACATGAAGGGAAGCAATCAAGTGTTGAAGATTTCTGTCTTCTAGGTTGTTTCACTGTGTTGTCTGATAGATGTTTACCAACGTTTCAACGATGAATCACCCTGATGACGGAGGCAGTATGACCTCTGAAACGTTGGTTAACATCGACCAGGCTACACAGCACAACAACCCAGAAGACAGAAATCTTCATACTCACTGCTGTGAAAACCTCAAATCTCACAATCAAATGCTGTTAGCAGAATACAAAGTAGGTGCAGGAGCAAACCTCTTTGAATTTAACTGGTTTTTGGTAGTCATATTAACAACCTCATTGGAGTTATTCCTTCTTTAATTTTTTTCCAACTGCAGAGTGTTATGTAACCTTGCAGAGTCCAACAGGGGCTGACATTTAAGCATGAAAGAAATCTGAACATTTTTGGGTTTTTATAGCTTCAAAAATTAACCTCTATCAAAAATCAGAAACATAATAAAGAATCCAAAAACTGATAATCGAATTAACATAAACCATGTTCAGAACGTCAGAATGTTCCATAACTATTTAGTTTTGTGACTAGCCTGGTCTTTACATGTATCAACATAGCGACATTACTATACAAAAAGATATATCGCACATCTTTAATAAACTTTTACTTCTTAATGCTGGTTACTAAGAACATTAGATTATTAGATTACCCTTCCACATGCATCTTCAATAAACTTCATTAACAGTAACAGAACAATTTAACCTTTATTGACAGCATATCATGTCTTATGTGCAGGCCAGCTGGCTTCTTGTTGCATTAGCATACTGCTAAACTGTTAACCAAGAGTTAAAGTCCAACCATCAGCCCCACAGTACAAGGGTTTTAATTCCTTATGCCCATACATTACAGGTCAAGTGTTAAATGACACATGAAAGTTAGTGCACTGCAAGAAACAAACGCTGAATTATTCTTGTGTATTATTAAATTCAATCTTATAAGCGAAAGATGTAGTATCATGCATACTTTTTGCTATTTACCAACATGGTACTGCATGATGATAAAGCCAATATGGTTTTCTAGCAACTTCCAGACAAGCAGAAGGAAGGAAACAGGGATACAGAAGGTTCTTACATTATAGATAGTCTACCTGTGTTCTGAATCTCCCCAGGAGAAAGTCTGCTCAGCAATAAGCTGTGATAATTTGGCCTTGTTGGGGAAGAAAAGTGCCAAATCTGTGGCCAGGATGCAATGCTTCACATAACCCAACACCTGCTTATACTCCCAGCTGCTCAACTTGCTGAAGATGTTGTGGCCTTTCTATAAACATTAACACATAAAGTACTCGCATGTATTTGAGAAGCGCAGCATTTGAATGTAAGGTTGGGTAGTAGATAGGCCTGTACTGACTAACACTTTATGGTTCCCTCAGTTCTTGCAAATGAATGCCAGAATAACATATTGAAATACTGCATTACCAGTTCCTCTTCCACCATTTCCAATTCACATTACATTATATTAAACAACATTAAATTTTACAAGTGCTTATTAGGTTTCAATCTGGGGCTGTATGTGAGAGCTGTAAGAGACCAGAGCTCTCTAGAACATATATGATTCAGTCTCACCTCACTTATGTAATGGTGAGAAACAACATTTTAAGATGAAGTCTTACAACATGAAGCTTCAATTTAGTGGCACATGAAGGAGGATGAGAATGGCAGGGCATGTACTGGGGAGATAAGATGCACATAATTTTGATTTGAAAGCCTGAAGGAAACACCTAGCTATAGATGGGAGGGTATTAATAAAACAGATGTTAAGAATACAGGATGGGGTGTTCAGACTGTATTCATGTGGCTCAGAATAGGATGGGATCTTCTGAACAGAGTAAGAAATCTTTAGTTTCCATAAAATTTGGGGGTCCTTTTAACTAACTAAACAATTATAAACTTTTCAATTAAGACTCTACTTCTTGGAGTTAGTTACTTTTAGTTATGGCCTCTGAAACTAGCATTGCCTAGAACTCTTCAGGACTTAAAATAATCTGAGTCAGTTACTGGCAGCATTTAATACGAAAACTACTCATGTTCTGACAACTATGCCATACCTACCATGCTAGCAAATCATTGCCTTAAACCAGCAAAAATTTTGAGGATCCACAGACTCAACTATACTGTTGGAAGTTACATTTACTACACCACAGAAACTGATGGGTATGTTCATGTTAGAACTGTTAACTGTGGTGTTGGGTCTAACATACTTGAACAATTTCTGTATATATATCTTGGTGAAGAAGTAGGCCTATATGTTACCTGCTGCAGAATGGTAACAGTCTGGTTAAAATGGTGGTGTTCCATTGTGGATGTGCTGTAAATGGCTGCCAGTGGAGATTCTGTGTCCAGCATAAATTTATTGTTTTTTCCTCGATGATCTAGGTCGTGGCACAGAGAGGCAATGTATAGTGCCAGGCACTGCAAAAAAATCATTGGCATTATGTAAAAACACTGCTGAACATTAGCTATCTGATGGTCAGATAACAAAGTACTTAGACATCTGAACAATTAATTGACTAAACAGATACTATATAACCTTTTCTGTTATTGTATCTCCTTCTTATTTTCTTCTTCCTGTGGCTCTACAACCCAGTGTGGGTCTTGGACGCCTCCTTTTGGAGATTTTGTTGATCTATTTAGTTTTAGGCATTTAGTAGGGACTTCTTGGACGAGTGATCAGCCCATCGCAAAGCCTCTACCAAAGAGGTGGGTGAGAAATGGCAGCTCAATTTTGCTTACGATACATCTTGTTCATGCTCGTAAGGTTCTTTTACATGGTGTAAATTTACGCCATGGGACTGCCAGATTTACTTCCCCTCCAAAGCAAGTCGTGCTACGGATTTTTATCACCCTTAAAAATCCATCAACCTCGGCCGGGTTTGAACCCACAAACCTTGGGTCTAGTGGCAACCATGCTACCACTAGACCACTGAGGGCGACTTTGTACCTCCTATGACCTCCTTTAAATTACTGGAATACTAATTTTCATGTATTGAATTTCCTCTTAACAAATGACTTTCAAGGAATGCTTATATTCTTTCTTTATAATCACATGTTCATAACAAGCAAGAATATGTATTTTGGACTGCTTGTTTCTGGTATCATTAAAATATTACTTTAATTTCACGTTGTTAATACCTACTTCATTGGCCTTGAAAGTGTTCTGTGTGTGCTTGATAACACTATACATGGAGTTAGCTACAGAAAACCCATGTGTCCAATTATGGTACGGCACTCGGCGATAGTTCTTTCTCACTGTCAATGTGAATCTGATGAGGCTGTCACTATCAAATCTTGAAAGTCCAAATAAGTCCTTGAACATGTAGATAGCATGTTTGGCTTTCTCAAAATCATCCAGCTTGAAGACACTGAAGTAATAGCTACAAAATATATAATATTACAATAAAAAATTGTGCACTTCACTTTTAGCACAATATTCTTAAGAAGTACAGACAACTGATAAGAATTTTAAGAAATATTTAAATAATTCAATAGGCTGTAGCCAATCACTCAAAAAACAGTAACAATATGTCTCTAGTTCTTCTACAAATAATTAGCGAGACATTTTCTGACACAGTGTAAGATAAATTAAGAATGTCAGGTGACTTACTCTTCTATACCAGGGATGGAATTTGGGATTTTCTGCTCTTGTGCACGTGTCACCTCTGTATCTGAGCAGGTGTTGTGGTAGCTGAGTACCTCCAGAGCTACACGATACTTCTGTTCTGATCTGGCAATTTTATCATACAGCTTAGCATGATGCAGGGCCAAGCCACAGTAGACTGCAAACATCTCAAATGCATCCTCATCCTCCTACACACACAAAATGCTGAGCTGAAGTTGTTCATAATCTACCATTCTGTTTTACTAGTAAATATTTACATAGACTGCTGGAATTACATCCAGAGAATGGAAATATAAATTCTGCCTAATCAGTAAATATAACTCTTTCAGAACTGTAGAATAAGGCATAGAATATACTTGATGGGCAGTCTTAAGAGGAGAAACCATTTGAAGATCTAAGCATAGATGGATGATGATATTAAAATGCATCTAATATAAATGGATTAGAAAGGTGGGGACTGGATTCACTTGGCTCAGGATAGGGACTGATGATGGGCTCATATGAATATGGTAAGGATCCTTCAGGTTCCATAAATGGTGAGGAATTTCTTGACTGAGTTACTATTGAGCTTCTCAATAAGGACTCTGCTTCATGGAATTAGTTATTACAAATATGTTGTTTACATGGACAAGTAAAAGAATACTACAAAAACTGGACAGATAATCCCTTAAGAATGGTGGTTTCTCAGATGCCAGAACAAACCTAAGAGTACAGATCTACAGGAATAGCAGAATGACAGATATTACTTTGTACATCCTCAAACATGATGGACAGATCAATATAAGGTCAGAACTAACCAAAAGGTTTAATCTTTGACTGTTGATGATGATAGTATTTTTAGATAGAAAACTGAATAATGAAAGGTTCTGAACTGAGTGGTAATAAGCATTCCTCAAATTTAATCTGTTCTTAACATCTTCATGAATGTTCTGGAAAGGAAGGCTACAGGAGAAAACAAACTGAATAAAATTAACCCCACACAGGATGGTTTACTTACTTTAGTAAAGCATCCACAATGTTTGTTAACCATCTGCACCACTCCAATGACATTGCCACGAATGAATATGGGCATGCACAGTATGGTCTTGGTGCGGTATCCTGTTAACTTGTCTATTGTTCGGTTGAACCTCGAATCACAGTATGCATCAGTGATGTTCAGCACCTCACCAGTTTTAGCCACCTGTCCTGCAATACCTGTGCCAACTGGGAATCTGTAACACATGTCAACTCAAAGCATGAAGCATAAAGTTTCATACAAGTGAAATTATTACTGATTTTAAAACTCTGAATGTAAGTGTGAATATATTACTTTAGAAAATTTCTTAGCCATTGATGGTTACTTACAACGTGGACTATCCCATGGTAAACACCCGAAATTGGAGAGATTATGGTAATAATTAAGATACAAATGGAAGTTATTGAAATGCCTGTAATTAAGTCTTTAATTATTTATTTAATTTCATTTTCTTGTGACTTTCACCACACTTCCGAAGTAGACAAATTTATTTACTTCCTTTATCTCTTTTCCATTTATTTTCACTGCTAATTTCTCAAGAGTTATCAATAATTTCTTCTCTAAGTTTGTTTCCAGTTTGTATTTGTTGCACACAAGAATTACTTTATTTTAATAATCTAGATGTTTGTGTAATTATGACTCTTCAACCGTATATTAAAAAACATACCTGATCTCTGTGGAGTTTTGCAGTTTTGCAATTGACTCTTCACTACCTGAAACTCCGCCTCCAGTCTTGCTGTCCGCAGCTTCCTCACTTGTAATTCCAATGTCAAATATGCGTGCATATAGTTCCTTGTTCCTACTGTCTACAAGGAAAAGAGACGCCCTGTCGGCATCCACAAGACGCTGTGCAAAATTCATTATCTTCATAATGAGAGTATCCATACTCACCATGTCTTGAAAGATGGACCTGCAGCAGAAAACTTTTTCTCAAAATTAGCCTTGGTTACATAACATCATAATGTCCCCTTAACCCACCAAATCTGCTCAGCATAAATTACAGGTGCTAACTTGTTATGAAATGCTATTTTCCTTCCTTTATCTATTACAACAATAGTTTTGTAGCTGACCCTATTAAACAGAAGCTTAACAAATCACCTGACAATCATAAAAAATAGAGTGGAAGTAAAGGAGACTTCCATCAAGCTACGCAGATTATTTCACTCTCACAAGCTGCATATCATGCCCGTTGCAAATTAATGATCATAAAATATGCTGAAGGAACAAATAATTGTGGGATGACAATGAAATACAGCATTTCTCTACACAATATGATGTACTGAGTAGATAAATGACAGATTGCACACACAAGTTCTTATGCAAAAAAGCATTCTATATTGCACTACAATGAGAAACGCTACAGAGATGGAAACAATTTCAATTTTATGGAAAATAATAGAATATAAAATTTTATTTGAATAAAAAGTAACATTATTTTCCCTCAAAATCTGCCATTATTAAAGAGGGTTGTCTTAAATCTGAGGTCATCTGATAATTGGGTTAAATACAGTAAATATGAACATGCAAAAACAGTGACTCACTTGACTACAGCTAACAAGAAGTCATTTAGCTTCCTCTGCTTGTTCATGCTGAGGTACAGCTGTGCATAGTGCAGAGCAATGCCGCCCCACACCAGGTAGCTGCTGGCAATCTCTTCATCCTCCTCATGGAATGGGTCGCCTCGCCATAACTCTACCACAGCGGCCAACTGGCCATCAGTCTGTATGACAGGTTGATACAGCGCATGGGCCGCTCCATTCTGCAAGAAAAGTCAAATTTGAAAACACAAATCTTCTAACAACCTGCAACAGTGCTCCATTATTCCAGTTTGTGGTAGCTCAGTGAATAGAGTGACTGGCTGATTGAATGATCGGAATTTGATCCCTGGCACGGATAGGAATTTTTTCATTTTGGCCACATGTTCAGACTGCACGTGTTATGTCAGTCCACAGTTACACTTTAATACTATCCCAATCTGTGCCAGGTTTATATATGCACTTTCATTTAAAATAATAAAAAAGATTAATTAATGTTACTTTGTTAGGAAGTCTATCAGGGAATCTTGGGTCGAGCTCTCCTCTGGACAGTCTGAGGGGCTCTCTCGTTTTGGCTACATATACAGGTACAGTGAGGTCTGACCCCATCCTTTCCATCACAGTCTGCCCATTCTCCAACCTGTAAGAAAATGTGATACATGTATTGGAAAACAGGTTGTCACTAAGTAATCTTAAATTTACATGAATACCTCCGCTTGTTACATTGACTTCAGCAAATTACTTCTTACATATATCTTCCACAATTTAATTACCCCAAAACTGTTTGGGATACTAGAAAATGGACCAAGCTCAGAAACCCAGTAACTGTAATTATGAAGGTGGAGTCCCAGGCACATAACTACGGCGTTCGACTACGTAAGAAATTGCCAAGTATATGGGATAAAGACGTGTTCAAAGACCACAAGAATCAGACTGCGTATGTTATTAATAAATTTAAATTAGTAACCTACAGAGGTTGATTGTCTAATTATTCATCACCCAGCAGTATGACCTATGTCACCCGCCATGACACAAGAGTTCTGTCATTGCTCTGCCACCAAGAAAGGCACAAACCATGAGAAACAGCCGTGAAAAAACACCCACGCAGAAAATACTTTACTTCATGGTTTTGTATGGGTGTGAAACTATGTCTCCAATTCTAAGACAAGAAAATAGCCTAGTCAGAGGATGTCTAAAAATAAAATGCTGATGAGAGAAGAGGAAAATGGAAAAATTATATAACGTGTAACTTCGAAATTGTATCTCTTCAGAAAATATTAGGATGCAAGGCAGTTTGCGCCTTGCCTCAGCGACTACTTCTCACGCATAACTGTGGTGCTGGTAGTCTAAACATTATGCGGACGGTCTGTAATATTATCGATTAAACTTCTTGACGGAGACGGGCTAAAGTATACATTTGATGAGAAAAAACAGCTGTTCACAAATAGCTACTTAACATACATTTAAAAGTTAAAATTATTTAAATTCGAATTTGGGGCAGCACATCGTATATAATTTAAGAACTGATTCGACCTTATAAAACACTGAACAGGTCTTAGAGTTTGACATAGGCGTACCTAGAAAGAGGAAGTACTGTATTTAAAAATATATATTTCACGGAAATTAATTTTAATTTACTATAATAACCCAATAATTAATATAAATGACTTATAGATGGCCTATTTAACAGCTTTTGAAGTGCAAAATTTTGTCTCACAAGGTTCTCCGGTCTACGGGCAATTACGTACCATTAACACTTTGAAGCTTAAACTAACCAACAGACAAACTAAACATGGGCGGAGTTTTGCGCGAAGCCGAACATCGTCTAAATTATATTTAAAAATCCACTACATAACTTAAAGAAAGCACAATCCGTCTCCATTACAAACATCAACTTGTTAATGCTGTTAAAGAAGCATTCGCCATCTCCTATGAGAATCATATGAAGCCCGTACATCCATTCTACGGGCAAAATACACAATTAATTATAATTAAATAATTATTGTTACAACAGATGATACGTAGCTGCCAATGGGCTTTAAATGATAAAGCCACAGTGCGCTTTATTAATTTCTCGTAGAGTTCCTTAGCCCGTCAAAAAACAATGCATGCCTGCTTCACTCCAGGGTCAGACTGATATCGGCGTCCTTCGAGTGCTTTTTTCAGAAACCCGAACAAATTAAACCCACACGTCCGGATTTTGCGGCTTTTTTATGCTGAAAAGTACCTTCCGTCCTGACCCAGATAGAGACCCAGCATCTCTGGGTCGCCATTCTCTGCCAGGTAGAGCTGGTAGCCTTCTGCCCCCACAGCAGAACAGATACAACCCGCCAGTTCCCACAGGACGTGAGCTTTGTTTGGTCTCTGCTGAAGCGACCTCGTCAGTTCCTGAAGCATCTGTCGCTTGTCGGCATGCACACAGAACTGTGGGCGGAATGCAGAAGTGATACCTATTGCCATGTAACTGTGGGGTAAAACGCAGGAATAGAAAGTACTATTACATTATTTATCAATGTCAGAGGCCTGTGGGGTTAAATGAAGAAACGGTATGTTTATCGCCTACGGAAAACCATGAGGTAGGCTGCATAAATTATATTAATTAATTAAGTTTTATCAGACATTTAGAACTGTGGATTAAAGCTCAGAAATTGTACACATGACTTGGGTTCTATTTGTATCAAGGAACGTTTGATACTCTGCAAAAGAAGAGTGTGTTCCATTGCGTAACGCATGACTAGACTTTTCAACAACGAAATTTCCAAATTAAATTAGGACATAATAAACATAACGTTTTATTGAATATGTAGGGCTACTACTGTTCTCTTTGCTTTGTAATCAGTACCAGTTTCGGATAATCTGAAGCAGAACTCGTGTATGTAGGAAACGGCTGGTGTCTTTGCTCTAGCCAGGGTTTCATGCTTGAACGCGTTCAGTTGCTGTCTATGTTCGTCTTCCGTGTTGTGACGTGTGTACTCGTGGGTAGATTAGGTCTATACCGTTTCCAGCGCTGACGATGAAGACAGTATGTTTCTCCGAAAAAAAATTATCTATCTACAAGTCCACATGGCCTTAAAACCTAGAAGACCAACACCGACTCTCTAACCCCCCATTTCCAATGTTTCTGGCCTTTTTGACAGCATTCTTGTTTGACCTGTATCCAACTGAGCAGCGTATTACATTTTATTTTGCGGTACAGAATAAATAATGCATGACTGCATTTATGATATTTCTGGATCTTTACCATTCAGGAAAAAACGAATTCAGTGTAAGAAGATATTCATGTTAAAAACTACTTACTTTCCATCTTGACAAACTGGTTTTCCGTCCATTCTTACCTGAAAACAGAAACATCATTTAAACCAAGAACCTTCATTACAGCTGGCAACAGTACTTCAACCTCAAAATTTTACGCTGTATATTCCACAAAACTCTTTCTAGACCTTCATAGCCACTAAACTTTTAATTTAAGCTTTGATTTCACAATTACGGCCCTGAATAAACTAAATTAAACGATACGATTTATAATACGATCCGCAGTGGTGTGTTAAGCGACGTTCAAACACGCCCAAATTAAGAGTGAGAATTATAACTCAGTTTCACATGGAGAAGAATTAGATTAACCCATAGACTCTTTGCAATTTACTGAATTAAATACCAATTCACGCTAATGTGAATTATAACGCGCATTGCGTGAATAGCTTTTGCCGTTACAAGGTCTCCTTTTGCATTTTTGGCCCCTGACAACAAGAGGGAGGCAGAGTTGGTTCAGCAAAGCAAGGTACACTTAAGTACTTACCCGTAGCCGAAGTGTCGGGGCGCTTCTTGGCTCGCTGCGTGCTTCGGATCATCCACCGCTCCAGCGTCTCCAGTTCTACTTCCTCCATGACGAAGCGCTCCAGGAAGTCGGTATGCGATCGCAGGAACGCGCGTACCTGTTCCACACTCGATTCTGCAAATACCGTTCCTCCATGTAACTGGATCTCTTTGCAGAACATCCGTTTGCCTGACTGTCCGCAGCTTTCGTCTCCCAAAAATTCATTGTCAGGGTCGAGTGATTAGTAATCCTGCCACCATCCTGACTTTCTTCGGGGTTTTCTTTATAAAGTCAACAAGCAACTGCCTCTCCAACGTCACCGAAGTCCTATGCCGCCCTCCCCTCTGACCTCTGATGTACCTGATACTGGTAACTGCTATGTGACGACTTCTATGGAGCTGTATTTCAACCGTCTCTACTACACCGCCTCAGGTTGTCCCGCTATACGCCATGTAGGCGTTCGAGGTTAGAGGTGGTATAGCTTCTATTCATTCTTAACCTCGGCACTAGATATTAGGTGAGTGGTGAGCGTCACGCCCCGGGAAAGGGCCCCGGTCCCCATTGAATAAACTAACCTAATATTGAGAAAACATTCAGCAATTTTTGTCATGGCGCCAGAAACACGGCTGTGTGAATACTTGCCAGCAGCATGTCCGTCACAGGGTTCTCCTCGGGTCACAGAGCCGTTCACGGTCTGATGCTGTCCCGCTCCTGCAAACAACATTCGCAGTGGTTTCACACGTGCTTGCTGCCTCCATCACCAGGGCGATCGCCCTGATGTCTGAGGCACTGAGCACACATGAAACGTCGGTCTACCTCTAGGAGATTACACGGCGAAATACACCAGAAAGCTGTAATTTTCAGAATCGCCGCTATGAGAACCTAAAAATCTCACTTGATGTCCTCATTACGAGAGCATGCTGGCGCCTGCTTTATGTTAAATGGACGATAAGAAAGGAAGGCTAGCTCACGGTGCGTGAAATGGGGTAGCTCTGTTTATGTCACAACGATTACGGAAGTCCAACTGGGTTATTGATCGTTCATAATTTAAACTGAATTTCATTACCATGGCTTAATAGCAAACAGTTCATTGCTACTGGTATTAAATAAACCGTAGTTCTGAGAAGAATATCCAAAACTAAAATACAGGAAGTAACAGAAAGCTGGAGGAAAGTTCAAGAATCAGATCTACATAATTTTCATTCTTCACCAAATCTTATTAGGACGATAATATCAAAGAGTAAAGATAGGCAGGGCATTTGAAATGTGAAGGAGATATGAGAAATGCATCCAAGGCTTTTGCCGTAAAACCTGAAGGGAAGAGACTGCTTGGAGACGCAAGTGTGAGTGAGAGAATATTATTAAAATGGATTATAAAGTCACGGGTTGTGCAATCTTGGACTGAATTCACTCGGCTCAGGTTAAGATACATCGGCGGGGTATGGTGGTAATTACCTTTCGGACTCCATGAAAGGAAGTAAATTACTTTACTAACCGGATGAACAACTACAATAACCTCAAGGACCGTGCTGCATGGAGTAATGAGGAAGGCATTAATATGAACATTTAAATACGTCCATAATCATGATTTTTGTAATCTAGATTATTCATCGCGCTATCATTAGGTAGCATAATTAAGGGGAGAGAAAGAGAAAGCAAGAGACGTAGCACGCACTAAAACGTTTTAGTCGGGAACAAAGAAAGGAACAGACCACTTAAAATATAAAGGATTAAGTGCGATGATAATATTAAAGTGACGCTTGAAATGGGCTGTGAAGTTATGAGCTGGGTTCATATATCTCAGGATAGGATCCAATTGCGGAATACAGTGACAATTAACTTTCCGTTTACGCAAAATATGTGGGATTTATTGACTAGATCGGTGACTATAGATCAGCTTCTCAAGAAGGACTATTCTCCAGCGTGAGATTTCAGGTCTTCATGGAGACGAGTAAAAAGATGGCTGTGTTCTTTGTTGTTACGACGTGTAATCTGTTAGTTTATCGACGATCCCCCTGATTATGGAGGCAGCAGGCTTCTCTAATACGTCGACAAACTTCCACCACATTTCACGGCTCTACAGCCCAGAAGACAGTCATCTTTTTGTTTGCCATTGTGTTATTTAGTCAACATATTCACTTCCAGATATTTCTTTTTATTATCTAAAATAATTTATAACTTTTTAAAATTGTTATTGACACACAATGTCATAATTCTGTTTTACTTAAAATTTTTGCAAATGTCAGAATAATATTACAATGCAGTGAGGATAAAAGACAGAAAACAAAATAATATAATAGAAGGCTTTCTTCCATGTTCACTTTTTGCTTTATGAAAAAAGTGACACAAAACAGAACACAAGATTCAGTTCTGTGACATGACACAGGAGGACCGATGTGTTATTATCATTACTGATAGCTGGATGAAGCTTAGACGAATATCACAATTACAGAACTGAGTCATCGACGGTCGCTTGGAATGAAAAACACACTTATTGGCCGCTACCCTATACAGCGTTCAATAAATAGGCCTAAACCGATGTGAAACAAATGACAGGTATAATTATCTCCCCCCCCCCCCTCAACTCATTTCTGCACCCAATCAGATTCATCCTACGGCTAACTCAGGAACCGGATACTAGGCTAGTACACAGACATAGGTCGAAGTTTGCTATGAAACTACATGCAGTTTTTCATCGATTCTCAGATTATTAATAAATTGCACATAAAGAACAACGAGGAAATATACAAAATAGGGCCCAAGAAATTCTGTTTGGCACTGGCGATCGTAGAATATTCTGAAGTTCCATTAACAGGAAAAAAATATGCTGTTGAATACTGGGTCTGTCGCATCACTGCATGTACAAACAGCACAAAACGTTTTTTTTTAAAAACAATTTTGTCTGCGCAGCTTGCTGTAATGAAGCTATCTTTGCCTTCCGTTGCAATCATTAACAGATGAGTTGCCGCCACTCAATTATGCAGGCTTCAGATAAGAGGCGTCATGTGAAGTTAATTTATTTTGTTTGTTTTGTTCCTTTTTTTACGTTGCTCCGTACTCAGTCGGAACGAAAACATAGATACGAGAAAATTAGAAGGCTCGGGTAGTTTTGACCGACCGTCGCGGTTAAGTGGTTAGTGCTCTTGCTGGTATTAGAATGCCACGGGTTTAAATCCCGGCCCAGAGGTCGCCTAAATCAAAATAAGCTGTGACTCCTCCCTCTAACATCCTATCCAAATCATTCACAAATTATGCAACAATTTAAAGCTGGAAAAATCAAGGTTATATTTTAATCCTGTAACAAAAATTCGCGTTTTGCTGCTCACTACAATAATTCATGAGTCACGTATACAGTTACCGATAGTAACAACCACACGGGACAGTGTTTCTGAACTCGTGACCAGCGTTCCCCTGCCGGCCCACAAATTCCAGCATTTACACAAATCCATGTTCTCTATGCAAGCAGACCTGAAAAAACTGATAGTTACTTAGCGAGGTAAAAAATTTACCACCTTCTACGGAATCAGGAGGGAAAGCCACTTGGCCCTCTTCTGAGGCAGATTAATCCATTGTAATTAATTTTAATATTGTCCTAATATTTATCGTATGTCGAGGTCTCGCACGCGGCTTCCTTACTTCATCTTCTGAATAACGTTTTGAGCCTATTTCTTAGATCTCACATATGAAGCATGTTTTTCCCTTATCATCTTCATTGATTTTATCATTTCAGTAATAAACTATATGACGAAGGCTACAAATTATGAAAATATTCATTGTTGAATTGTCTTCAATTGTCTTACTACTTTCTCTCTAGATTGTCCAAATATTGTCCCCTGTACGTCGTTCTCAGACTCCCTCAATCTTCAATTAGGGATGGACCCCAGGTTCAATACTCATAGAAGAACAGGACAAATTATAGTTATGTAAGATTTGATGTTTTCACAGCGGTGAGTATGAAGATTTTTGTCTTCTGGGTTGTTGCGCTGTGTAGTCTGGTAGATATTTACCAACGTTTCAGAGGTCATATAAATATTCATCGACCTGATGACGGAGGCAGTATGACCTCTGAAACGTTGGTAAATATCTACCAGACTACACAGCGCAACAACCCAGAAGACAAAAATCTTCATACTCACCGCTGTGAAAACATCAAATCTTACATAACTATAATTTGTCCTGTTCTTCTATGAGTATTGAACCTGGGGTCCATCCCTAATTGAAGATTGAGGGAGTCTGAGAACGACGTACAGGGGACAATATTTGGACAATCTAGAGAGAAAGTAGTAAGACAATTGAAGACAATTCAACAATGAATATTTTCATAATTTGTAGCCTTCGTCATATGGAATATGATCCTTTACTACTCCTACTCACTAGGTATGAAAATTCAGTAGCAGAACAACAACAATATTAAAATTAGCAAAATTTCCGTCATGCAGTACAAATGGCATTGCTGGGGGCGGAAGGAACACAAGTGGACTTACGACTCGTTCTTCCTCCGCGCCATAGTTTGGCGATGCCGTCTGCTAGTCCGCTCCACATGGCATCTCGCCACACACCAACCAACTGACAGGCAGACCGCCTGCCTTACTGACATCCCGCCCCAATATAGACTACACGCATGCACGGGCTATGACGTGGGGCGTGCAGTGGTAGTGAAGGTTGCTACTTTTAACTACCGGCGATCTAACAGAGATTTGGATACTGGGTTATTTAACGATGCCATTTCAACTGTAAAGGTTGCATAGCACATAATGGTGTAGTGATACCACGAAATTAATATAAGCGTCTGGATAGATGTTATGGCCTATTTCAAAGAGCTAATCGTGTATCGTACAGACTAAATAAAACCACAGAACATTTGTATAAATCGGTAGCCTGGCCGAGGTTCAGACACCATACAACATAAAATAGTTACCGCTAGACCAACGTAAGCCATAGGTGTAATGGTATTACAAAGAAAATTTGTGTAAGCTATACGAAGTTTTAGAGGATATTTTATACGTTTTAGAATGGTTATATTTTGTTCGTCGTAATAATATAGTAACGCGGGGAAAGTGAAATGTGGGAGATTTTTGTCTGTGTTATCACCAAATGACTGTGAAGAAATGATTATTACCATTTTCTGACAAGGCGAGCTTCTTTTTGCGTGGATATTGGCACGCATGCCTAGTTTTAAGCCATCGTTCATTCTGAAAAAGTAGCGTCTGAATCACTTGCACGTGTGATTTGTTTGATAGTAGCAGTATGTCCGTCAATCTTATATCCTGCTCTGTCCTTTTTATTCAAGTTGGCTTTTTGCATGTTATGAAAGTCCTCATCATTCTTGAAGAATACCCCACTAAGTCTGACGCAACTGAAAGAACCTCTCGCCACTAGCGGAGTGACCTCTCTGGGGCCCGCGCGCGGCTTCAGAGGGCCCCTCTACAGGGCCACAATTTACGCCCATGTACCTTCATACCATTTCATCCCACCCAACCAAAATTCTGGACACACCAGAAGCGCTCACATGTCTGTTATCAACATTCAACTTGCACAAAACTTTCGGATAACATTGCAGCCAGCTTCTTAAGGCAGCTTATTTTCTTTCCTGCCTTAATTGATTCATTTACACTAAAGCTGTAGGTATGTGGTGCGATCGGAAAGTTTCAAGACTGCGCCTATAAAAACCCGTACACTTATCTCAGGTATTAAATTCATCCATCACCCTC